AATGCAGCCCTGACATTTTTTTGTAATCAGCAGAGAGGTGTTATCTCAGGACAGGCTCCAGCATGCTCAGATTTCCCTATTCCAAAAGAGGTTTCCTCAGGTTACCAACTGTCCCGCCCCCAAGTCTGTAAGACAATGCTGAGGGCTTAAACACCCATTCATCTGTTTGCGTGTGAGAGTACAAATGTGTACATATGTCATGGTTATCTGAACACGTACTTTCAGAAAATGCATGTGTTGTGTTTTCACTTCATCTGTCTGTTCTCAGATTTCTGTGTGAAGGCTGCAGACAGGAATTGCAGCGTCGTCCTTATGAAACCACTGCTTCCTCTTTAAGAAAACCACTGACATTTGAACTCCTCGAGCATCGTTTGACTACCCACTTTGATCTCAGTCCAAGTCAGCTGGCGAGCAGGTTAGTCATCCCAACTTTGAGATCATTGAGGATGTTTACAAACCCCTGAGCATGCCTCAGGATAAATTCGCACACATGTATCAGTAGGAATTCAGTCTGAATAACAAATGTTGCAGGCAATAGACTCATGCACTCTTACTGATCTTGCTGCCCTTATATTCTTCTGAACTATCTTTCTGTACTGACAATCTTTCAAACAAAACCAAGCTAAAGATTTGATTTTTGTTATGCAAGTCAACCAAAGATTCAGTTGAACTTAAACTGACATCAACTTTTCCCTTATCAGGAAAAGAGAAAGCTATTCACTCAGCGTTTTTGCTAGAAGCCACAGAGCACATTTAGTAGGTCAAAGTGGGGTCATTGAAGTCTGAGTTGTGACACAAAATAACCCTGTTAGCCATTTTAGCTATAATTAATATTTTCATGATAACAGTAGTTTAACAGGGGTTGTTTAAAGAAGTGAATCCAGAAATATTTATAACCAGAAATGCAGTAGACGGCAGTTTCGAACATAAACAAACCCCACTGTACCAGCATCAAGGAGCAGACATACGGTTAGTTGCTTATGAATATAGCAGAGCTTTTAGAGAAACATATTTCCCTTAGGAGGTGGACAAAGCTCTGAAATGGTTGGATGTGTAAATACACATTTTATTGTCAACTGAAAAGATGGTGATATGCCCAAAAAATTATTGTTTTTTTACAACCTTTAATTAACTTATACCTCATAAAACATTTGCAAAACATTTTTTAAATGTGAAATGCTCTATCATATTACGTTGTCTTCTCTTACTGCCCTTCACAGTCAGCAAAAATGTGTCTTTCTTTACCCCTTTTACATATACATATCTGCGACACACTTATTAAAATACTGCTCACACAGTGCTGCCATTGAACAAACACCCCGCCGCAGGTTGCCTTTAACTGCACTATTTACTTAAGGAGTGTGTGCGCGGGTGTGTGTTTGTGTGGGTCAATTATTCTAGTTTTATGTATTAGGATTGTGTCATACTTAAAATTGTCCTATATGCTGTCAAAGAGGACATATTAGACACATTTTCCGGTTCATATTTGGATTTTGTGGCTGTACTGTGACATGTTTCCATGCTTTAATGTTCAAAAAGCTCTTTATTTTTCTCTTACTGCCTGTGCTGCAGCACCTCTTTTCATCCTCTGTCTAAAACCAGAGCCCAGTCTGCTCTGATTGGTTAGCTGGCCCTCTCTGTTGTGATTGGTCAACTGCTTAGATATGTCCCGCCCTTTAGCCTGTCACATACAATGTGTTGAAGCGTGAGTGTTATATAGGGGATGTCAGTATTTTATGAATGTAAACAAAGGAGTCAAGGTGTTCAGGCAGGGGGGGGGGAACTCCCTCTAAAGGGAACTTTGGGATTTTAGCTTTTGCAGACCATTTACATGCACAAAAACCTACATCACACACTACAGGAAAGGGAAAACTCCAGAAAGCATCATAGGGCCCCTGTAAAAAAAGAAAACAATTTGGACCACGTCTTGTAAAAATAAAATCTAAAAAATCTAAATAAATGCACTGTAAACATTTGCCAAACACCTCATGAAGGATTAGTCTTAACGGTCAAATATCAAACTGCTTATATTCTTTTCTTTCCTAGTGTATCTCTTACTTCCTCCATGCTAAGATTCAATAATGGTGAGCTAATGGTTGAATTTTCTGCCAAGATGGCTTCCTTGGTTCCTCCATCTTTGTGTGTTCAGATGTGTGTGTCGCTTGGTAGCACAGCATGAAAAGCTATGATCACGTTTGGTCAAACACCCATGAATAGGGACGTCTGGACAACAGGGGAGCCTCTGAATACAGACTTTGCGGCCGGCTGCAGCCACGGGACAATGCCAGCACACATGTGTGGACCGAGCGGTCGCACTCCTGGAACACACACACACACACACACACACACACACACACACACACACACACACACACACACACACACACACACACACACACACACACACACACACACACACACACACACACACACACACACACACACACACACACACACACACACACACACACACACACTATTGTCTTCTCCAACGGGCAATCTGATTCACACACACAGCCTCTCTTTCTTTCACTTTTCACAAATTGTTCCATCTAGCTTGAATTCCACTGTCCTATCTTGAAGCTACTCACAACTGCTGTCCCATCCACACACAGCCAGCATGCCTTGAAAGCGTGCAGGAGTACATGAGAGAGGACAAGGGGGGGGGGTTCATTTGGAAAAAAAGTTCACCCAACTCCAACAGCCAGAGAGGTCACAGGAACAACACCCAATCCCAGAGCGGTTCCCATGGAGACAAGTGTGGCAGCGTACAATGAGGGTTGGAGCGAGTGATGAAAGAGAGGGAGAGAGGGAAAGGGCAGGGGAAGAGTAGGAGGAGGGCGGGATGTTGGCGTCAAGGTTCACTTGGTGGGTACTGGTGGGGGGGGGGGGTCTGTGGGGTGGTAGCTCAACTGAAAAGGACAGTGGGAAGTATAATTGGTTGAAGCATAGCAGTGCTGGAACATTCTTCCACCCCTCCTCTCATTTTCATGCCCTCTTGTCCCAGCTGACAGAGTACCTCCTGATCTAGGGCCGCCGAGTGGCTCATGGCCGCCGGATTGAGAGCAGAGATATGTGGAATTTCCACTGACCGTGACATGCATGGCCCGGGAGAAAACCAGGAGGAAGAGGGTTGTTGTTGTGAGGCATTTGGCATGGATACGGGTGAATCAGAAGTAATATCCAGCTGGAGGACGTGATGGTGGCGCCTTTGCTTAGTTTTGCTGAGGAGAGCTTGTGGTGTAAAACAAAAAAGGTCCTTGTCACTGGCAGTTTAAGTTCCGCCAGTGTCAGAATCAGATACACCCGCCGACATAAAAGCAGTTAATTGACATGGCTGCTGATAGCACTTGAACCCTTTTAGCAGAGGGCATGGACAACTAAATCGTGTCCTTGCTCCAGTTTCTGCTCTTGTCTGTCCACCTTTACCACCTTTTTTCTTTTGAAGAGGCACTCCACTGATTTTACATATGGGGACCAGTGTACTTGTCATCGGGAGTACTATTCACATTGTGAAAACAGCTGTATAATAGTCTGGAGGGAGCGTTATAAAGTATGAGAAAATAGAAAAGTGGTCTCTTAGCATTTTGGTACCACCGCGTTGGCACATTTGTAGAGGGCTCAGACAAAAAAGTTGATCCTCAGAATAATTTTACCAAATTCGAAATAGAAAGCCTGCAATTGTGTGGATGCCACCACCATTTGCGATATGTTTTCGCCATTCAATCTCTGTACAAGTGGCCCCCCTCTACTTTTCCCACAACCAAAGGAAACGTCTTCTAGCACCAGAATTGTGTTGGGCTATTAAGTGTGTGCAGATAACTGTTTATGTGCCAATTGTCAAAATGGAGGTAGAACTATTGTCGCTAAAGTCATAGCCAGATCTCAAAACACTCTGGGTTGTTTGCAGTTCTTGAAAGCAATCACAATCATTATGGGTGACGCAAAGCACAATATGCAAACTTAACACACAGATGGTGGACTGGAAAGTGAATGCAGGGTAAAAGTCGTGGCCAATGGCAGGATTTGACCCTAAATCTACTTTTGGTTGGCTAGATTGTTGTCGCTGTGAAAACTTTCCAGAGTTCTACCATCATCAAAGCTTGTTGCGTTGTTTTCACGCCTGGCATTTTGGATCTGAACGCCTTTGAAACTAGGGAAGTGGAGTTTGAAAGGACTTGAGCATTTGCCAGGTATGGGTAGGGAGTCTTGAGAAAGACGCTCTCAAGTTGCATTTTGGGAAATGTAGGATGCAGCATTATTGGAGCTTGACCAATACTACAGACTTTTAGTCAGATTTCAAAGCCTCTACTTTTGGCCTTCTTTTTGAAATCTGTCCCTAAAGTGCTAAATCACTGGATTTCTCCTTTAAGGCCTCCATTTTTCCCTGAACTTGACTTGTTTCCCACAGTGTTCCCATCCGCCATTTGACTACCACCAGTTTGTCCTCTCTCTGTCTCCCTTCCTCGCCGTCTCTCTGACTCACTCTCTTCTCGCTCCCTGTCTGCGAGTTTGTCCGTCCTTGTGCCCAGGTTTTTCAAGTTGGCGTGGTTCCTGTTTGTTTTCAGCCATTTTGGGGACTTGCAGTGCTCGTAACAAACTGCTTAAATGGCGTCCTCATGCTTGCTCTCCCACTCTGTCTCCCTCTGCCTCTCCCTCCCTCTCCCTATCGCTGGGCTTTGTGTATATAAAGTAGTGTGTGTGTGTACATGAGTGTGTGTGTGTGTGTGTGTAGAGAAAGGGAGAGAGGGAACAACACTTCCAAATAAAAAGAAGATTGGATTCAGTGGGGGTTTGGATGGGGTGGGGGTAGGGGGGGGGGGTGCAGAGGGGAAGGAGGGGGGATTCACTTGCTGGAAAAAAAGAGCAAAAACACTAAGAATCGAGTGTCAAAGGCAAAAACTGGAGTGAGAGAGGAGAGGCAGCAAGAAAAAGGGGGAGTGAGAGGGAGAGAGAGAGAGAGAGGGAGAGCAAGTTCGAGTGTGAGAATCGCTCCTGCCCTCTGTCTTCACACACTGCTGCCTGTATGTGTGTGTGTGTGTGTGTGTGTGTGTATGTATGCATGTGTGTGTGCACCGCCTCTCCCTGCGCTCTCTCTCCCCTCGCTCTCACACACTCGGACGTGCGCATACACAGACCAAGGGGGAGAGAGAGAGAGAGAGAGGGAGAGAGGGAGTGTGAGGGGAGAGAACACATCGCAGCAGAGATGCAGCAGGAGGTTTTCCGAGGTACGTTCTCTTGTATGCTTGCCTTCCTGAGAGACAGCCAGGGAGAATAAGAGGAAGAGACGCTGAAATCTGTTGTTTTCCTGCCTGTTTTTCTGCTTCACTCTGCTGCTGTGGCACTGCTTGCTCTGCGCGTGAAGAGGAGGAAAAGGTTTTTATTAAACCGTGCGTGTGTCGGGGCGTGAGTGTGTTTTTTATGCAGCGTGTGTATGTGGACGTGTATTTTTGTGTGTGTGTCCCTGTACTGGATCTGCCTCTGTGTGTGTGTGTGTCTGTGTGTGTGTGTGTGTGTGTGTGTGTGTGTGTGTGTGTGTGTGTGTGTGTGTGTGTGTGTGTGTGTGTGTGTGTGTGTGTGTGTGTGTGTGTGTGTGTGTGTGTGTGTGTGTGTGTGTGTGTGTGTGTGTGTGTGTGTGTGTGCGCGCCAGTAACGGGCCTCGTCTCCCTCATCCTCTTCTCTGTTGCTGGCGCACCACGCAGTTCTCTTTCAAGAGCGATGACTCGTTTTGTGATTGTGATGAAACTTTTAATTTATCGAAAGCCTCTTTGTGATACACCGCAGAAAGGGGGCGGGGTGGGGGGGCTGCCAAACACACGTCAGAAGAGATATGAGGTTTGTTGTAGGGGTCTTAACATGGTGGGCCCATCTTCCAATCCTCCTCATCAAGTTACTAGCAACATCCCAGGAAGTGTTTTAGCGGACAAACTTGCATGTAGGCGACGGTAAACATCTCTGGTTCCACCGGCTGGTTCTGTCTCTTATTTCGGTCACGGGCCGCCCAGTTTGTCCTCCATTTTCCCAGCCTGTTTTTCGGCTGGAGGTTGTCTCTGGTAGAGCAGCAGAGGGCATATTGATGTCACCAACCCCGTTGTTGCTGCCCGAAGCCTTACTTTTTTTTCTTTCTCCAACAACAACACAGCATCTGCTGCCAACTACTCCACATTCCTTGTTTCCATGGATGCCAAGCCAAGCCCCTCTGCTTACTATATGGAATATATGATGCACACTGCCACAGTGGGGTAGGGGTCATAGGTCAGCAAGAGGAAGTGTACTTTCTCGCTGCTCGGTGGCGTCACACAGATGATGTTGTCATTTGTATTTTGGTCAGTTGTGCCTGGGTCCCCCATTGGAGAATAGTATTTGTCTTTTTTTCTACTCTTCATAGATATGCTATCATGCAACTCTTAAAGACTTCAAGAACAAGTTGGTTTGCTTTGTTTGATTATGCAGATATTTTAATATATGCAACAAACATAAGGATGCGAATGCAATTCGGCGCAGCGCTTCATCTTTTCTAACTTGCCATAGTTTTACTTGCAGTAGTTTTACTTGCAGTTTACGGTGACTGTTGTAACATGCCGTTCTGGCTCAGCCTTACTAAAACTCAAATGTGTCTTGGTAGTTTGAGACTGAGAACTCCAAAGGGGGCTTTCACACCCCTTTAAACAAGGAGCACGCATGAAATTGAAAATGATTTTGTGGAAATTACCTCAAAAAGGTCACCGGTGTAGTGTTACCGCGCTCCGGGGTTACTGTTGGCCCTACTGTTTCCGAGGGGCCTCCTATGATTGTGTTGCAGCGAGCGGCATTATTGGAATTACGTGCTGGGCTGGGAGTTAACGGAGCGTGGAGAGTGTGGCGATTTTAGAACATGGGCAGGTTTCGCTGGTGCGTGGAGCTGCATGCGAAAACACCACCAATACGACAGTTTACACGTGGGGGGGGGGGGGAGGAGAGAGGGTCAGTCATGCTGAGGGGGGATCTGAAAGACAAGGAAACCATGACATGCGAACATGGGCGAGACGTGTTTGAAGGTACCCCTATCCCCCCCCCCCCCCCAGCTCCCACCACCACCACCACTACCACCTCCATTCAACCACTCCCCAACTTCCCTTACCTCCTACTTCCCTCTATCCCATCTGGCCGGCTCCACCACGCTCTTTTGGCCGGGGGGTTGAGGAGAGTTCAGTAGCCTTTCTTGCTAACGATGCCCCCTTACCCACACACACACACACACACATCTTCCTGCGAACACATACACTCTCCTCTTCAGAGACCAACTGCTGCTCCAATCGCTGGGCCCCTCTGGCTGCCCCTCACTGGGGAGAAAGCCCAACCGACACCTTCCTCTTCCCACATGCTACACGCCGCTGGCTGGCTGGCTCACCGGCTGGAAAACCGAGGCCCCCCACATTCTGCGTTCCAGGCACTCCCCTTAACCCCCCCTCCCAAAAAACACACACACATATGTTGACAGCACATCAGCGTTAACGTTTTGGTTAAAGGATGAATCTGGTTTATTCGAAGTCTTAAAGTTATGACCCTCACTCTTATCAGTCAATATAACTTTGCACTCAGTAACCTTTATGCTTGGATCTGTGAATGCGATGATGCTGCTAAAAAATAAGTGAAATACAAAATTGAAAACGGACTTCCTGGTTCAGATCTGGCCTGCAGTATTTCAGGCACCAGTACAGTCAGGGTACTGTTGCTTTGTGAACATAGGTTTCCTGTGTAATAAGGGATTATTACCAACGTTTTGGGTGTGCTCACTGTCTGTTTCATCGCAAAATACAGTGATTTAGATCCTCTCTGAATTGTTGGCTCATTTAAAGCCTGTCGCCTGATCACCAGTTTTTCTTGGCCACACACGGTTATGCTTTTGTGACGTTGTTGTGTTCCCAGATCTCAAAAACTCCCAATAGTGGACATAACTATGAAAAGAAAACCTAAGTTATAATCAAACAGGATTTTGTTTCAATAGTTAGAGTGTAGGGAAAGTAGATCTGACTTGATCTTTTTAGCTGTAATTTTAGGGGTTTTCAAAATTGTTAGCTGTTTACAATCATATTGAATTTTTAAAGTCATTTGAGTGGTACTAAAAAAGTATTCAAATGTAATTTGCTGTGATAATCCTCAATTATATAAAGTATTTGACCAAAAGGCTCAAAACTTTTGAATTTGGAGCCAAAGTATGTGTCAGTTTGAACCGCACATTATTACAATGCTTGTGGTTGGCTTTTTAAGGAATTTTCTTTGAGATGGAAGATGGCAAAAAAACAAAAACAAAAGAACAAGCATGGTGATTTAATCCTCACAGTTACAGTTACAAGAACTCGTGTCAGTGTTGGAATAAACAGATTGCTCAACGGCTGGTTCAAGGCCTTGACTTGGCACCAACCAAACTACTCTGCCGTCCTGCCTCATGTTATGCAAGGCCGCTTTAGCACTGATGTTCCTAGTGACTGATTGACCATTTCAACTGAGTGGATTACTAACTAATGGTTTCCAAAGTCATCCATGCTCTCCAGATGCTAATGGAAAAAAGTCAAAGTAAAATAGTGTAACTTCAGCTCTTTTGAATTGGTCCCAAAATTCAAGCAGACAGTTTGTTAGGATTAGGAGTCAAGTAGATATCCGTGAGTTCTGTAACTTTCAAATCATTTTGAACTCAAAAGAATGAAAATTCCCAGAATAAAACTTCCTATCTGTCATTTGATATGTATGGAGGACGATAAGGGCCAAAAGTGAATTTTATTTTGCACTTCTTAGCAAAAAGTCAGATGAATTTTTTTCTAACACAATTCTGACTTTATTCGCAAAGCTAAATCAAAATTCAAAATAACATGTGGCCCTACTGCTCAAATTAATTTCACATGTGGCTCTAATGGTCTTCCGTAGATATGGGATACAAGTTGAATCCATGAGTATAGCTGAAAGCAGGCCATTGTTCGCTAAGATGATTTGTCCTTATACCAAAGCCAGTGCGTTTTGTAGGTGTTTTATGTTTACGTGTGTCTAGTTTGTCATTTGTCCGGCACCACCTGAGAACCTGTTACTGCTTTGCGGTTTAGAGGTGTCACAGGCCTAAATAGATGAACCCTTCACAGGTTCACCAACATGTTTGTTTTGTGCAGAACATCCTGTCGCAGAGAGGTGTGGGAACAAGGTTGCTGTTTATTTTTATTCAGCTTTAGAGTCCTTGCCACATTCATGGTCACATTTGAGAAGGATGTTAGTGTGGATCCATCTGCTCACGTAATTAAGAGGTAAAAGTATATATCTGCGTGTCATATACGTTTGTATACACGTACGAGTGAATCCAGCACATTCAAAGCACGTTAAAAGCTGCCTGTCACAGTCAGATGGCGTGTCGTGCTGGCTCTGCTTGTGCAGCGCCTGTGTGCGTCACAGGGAGATAAAGAAGAAGAGCGAGGGGGCGACATACGCATTTTCCTGTCCCCGGCGCAAGCATCAGTTGAGATGGTGAAATGTTTAGCCTTAGCGCTGTCTCTCAGTGTTTCCGCCCACTTGTAGCAGACTTGCCATAAGGGATTTCCTGCACAACATCTATTGCTCAGCAAATGTGAGTGACAATGAAGGCCTGTTTCGATTCAAACAGAGCAGTATGGCAAGCCTGGCGAGACAGAATTCTGTATCCTAGTTTTTTATACATCTTGTATGGCCTGGATTGGTTTGTTGTCCCTGTACAAGAACAAACATGTGCTTGTGAGTACGTCACTCATAGACACCATGGTTGTCCTTTTGTTGACTTTACTTTGTTCTGCACTTAAAGTCAGTGCCATGTTGCACTCAGATTCACCTTTTGGTTTTGAATGTGATTTACAAGTGGGCCCATCCTTGTTGAACTGCTTTGTTTATGCCTGTCAGTCTTGCTTGTGGGCATGCATAAGTGTATGTACAGTGCTGTGTACACATGCATGTTTGTATTTTGTGTGTGTGCATGCGTGTGGTGTTTGTCTATGTGCTGTTGTGAGTGTGATTGTTTGCCTGGGCTCCTGTCTGTCTGACAGTGCAGTGTGTCTGACTGTTCCTGTTTCAACACCCCCCCCTCCACCTCCTTCCTCTTCCTCTATCCTTCTCTCTGTCTCCTGCTCTCCCACTAACCCTCAGCTTCTCTCTCCCTTTTTCTATCACCCTTTCACTCTCCCTCATCCTCACCCTCTCTCTCTCTCTCTCTCTCTCTCTCTCTCTCTCTCTCTCTCTCTCCTCTTCCCTCTGCAATAACAGTGCTGACCTAGTTTCTGCCTGTTCAGGGCTGCCTGTGGAATTTTACAGCGGCCTGCCTTCCTGGCTGCTTTGCTGCTTGAAAACGCAGGCAGAAAAGCATGACTGAGGATTTTTCTTCTCGTCGCATCATTATGGCCTTATACCGTCTCCGTTCTGCTCCCCAATCTGCAGACCTAAATAAATGAACCCGTTTTGAATAAGTAATAACAGCAAATTGCCTTTTGGGCGAGAATCTGCAGTTATCTTATGTACGGTGAATTTGTAGCAGAACTGCATGCGCCCTCATGGCGGGCGAATTAGAATGGAAATGAGAATGGCCTGTCGCTCATCTTCCACAGCTTAGCTGAGATTGTGCCGGATGCAGAAGGCGGAAAAACACCCCTTCTCTGTGCACATGCATGCAATCTCCCTCCCTTCTCCTCTTCCCCTCTTTCCTTCCCTTCCGCCTTCACAAATAAATGGTTAGAGTCATGCCCGGCAAACACTGGCCACTGCCAGGAATGGCTAACAAGCCTCTTGCTCAAACAGCGAGAGAGTGGGACTATTTTTACGTGCTTTTCGGGCCATGGATCTAAGTCAACGCTCTATTCTGAGAGAATCTTGATTAAATCTGAACGCCTTCCAATTAGGCAAAGGGAATGTTGTGTCACAGCCGAGAGAGATGGATCTCTGGAATGCCTTTCTGAAGGCTTGGTTGTGGCATGCTGAAATCTAAACCAGCACTGCCGCAGATTCATTCCTCCCCCCTACCCTCTCCCTCCTTTCACCATTCCTGGCTGAGCCGTTAGAGTTCAGTGTTGCTGGGGCATTCGGTTCACTTTCTCAAAAGTGTTCCACACGCATCATGGCTGCTACTGCAAAAGCTTTGGATGTAATTCTTTGCTTCATGTCGATATAAATGTAAGTGTCGTACATTTCTCTGAGGAAGTTCATAAAGCTAAGACATACTTTCTGATTTCTCTTTCAGATTTCGGGGGCTGGTCATGGTGTCCGGTGAAAAGGTGTGGGACCCCCTCCACACGGGCCTTATTCAGTCACGTCTGAGTGAACAACACCTGGCTGCTGGGCTAACTCCCCTCTGCAAAATCACACACAGTGCAATTAAGGACACCACGTGCCAACAGAGTCGGCGGTTGTCACCTTTGTCTTCCCCGTCACCGCCATTAGTGGCTGTAGACACCCTTCAACCGGCCCGGGACTCCTCACACCTGCCTGTCAATCTCCGCGGCTCAAGCAAGATCGAAGGATTTTACAAACGAATCCACTGTCTTGGAGGGGCCTCTCATTCTGAAGAAGAGGAGGAGGAAGGGGAACCGGTGGAGATGAAGGGTAAACGGCACGTAGGCCGGGGAGAGGCCATGATGGAGGACAGGCTGGAGGACATGGCCGACGGACCTAAAAATGCAAAAATCACCCTAAGCTTCCCACTTAGTGCCGCCCCCCTCCCAGCCTCCCTCACATCTCCGAACCACTGTCGTAGCTCTTCCTCGTCCTCCCCTTCCCCTCATCGAAGGCGGCCATCTTCCAAGAGCTCGGACGAGGGGTCGCTGTGGAAACTGGATGCTACCATGGACGTAAAGCACAGACCTTTTAAGCCCCCGAGGCGCGACAGCTCTCCGTCCTCTTCGCCTTCCTCCTCCTCATCTCCCATGACTGTTCATGCACTTAGCAGGAAAGATATAAAATCCCCGCCTCCTCTGAAGTGCTCCAAACTCAATTCAGAGACTCAGTTCCACAGGTCTCCCCCGAGATCTTCGGGCTGTTACGGCGGAGACGGGTGGGACGAGAGGCACAGGGTAACCAACAGCACCGCCTCCCCCTCTCAAACGGCCCAGATCCTCTTCAGTCTGGGCACGTCAGCCTATCAGAGAGGAGGGGACACAGAGAGGAGAGAAAAGAGACCAGCTGGGAAAGTGGGAAGCCCTCACGGACCAAGTCTTCACCCGCCCCCCCTGCACCTCCCTCCACCCTTACCGCCTCCTCCTCCTCCCCCGTCGGAGGATCTTACCGACCCCCCTCACTCCTCATCCTATCCCCCCACAGCCAGCCCGAAGCCCGAGCTGATTTGCGGTGTGTGCCATCGGCTTTTCAGCTCGGCCTCCTCCCTGACAGTCCACATGCGGCTGCATCGTGGCAGCCGCGCCCTCAGTTGCCGCTTCTGTGGCAAAGTCTTCATCCACAGCAAGAGACTGCAATCCCATGAGTCCTCCTGCCGGGTGCCAGGCCTTCCCTCCAACAGCCTGGGCCCCCCTCCTCTCACCGTGCAGCCAAAGGAGGAGCCGCTGGAGGAGGGCGAGGTGAGAGTGGAGGGGGGAGTGATCGTGGGACAATCAGAGATCGGAAAGGTGCGGCAGGGGAAGAAAGCCCGGAGCCTCCTGGCACGTATCCAAGGTGATGATGCAGCAGCCGCAGAGCTACTGGCAGGTGATGAGCACCATTTTGTGAAGGTGGTAGACGGCAATGTCATTTACTTCTGCTCCGTGTGTGAGCGCTCATACATGACCCTCTCCAGCCTGAAGAGGCACTCCAACGTGCACTCGTGGCGACGCAAGTATCCGTGCCACTTCTGCGACAAGGTCTTCGCCCTGGCAGAGTACCGCACAAAGCACGAGGTGTGGCACACAGGAGAGCGCCGCTACCAGTGCATCTTCTGCTGGGACGCCTTTGCCACCTACTACAATCTCAAAACACACCAGAAGACCATCCACGGGATTAACCCCAGCCTCATCTCCAGCGAAAAGACAGCCAATGGGGGTTACAAGCAGAAAGCGAACGCACTCAAGCTCTACCGCCTTCTCCCCATGCGCTCCCAGAAGAGACCCTACAAGACTTACAGTGACAGTTTGCATAATGGCCTGCTTCTGCCACCAACTGAGACACCTTCCCTCTCCCTGCCCGCCTTAGGCTGTACTCTGGGCCCTGAGGACCTCCAAAGCCTCATCAGCGGGGCCCACCCTCAGAGTGTAAAGCCTGACCCAGATGACTTCCCTAATGGCTTTCCTGTTTCCGTGTCCGCTGAGGACGGGGACCTCTCTGAACTAACACCCCTCCCCCAATCGGACATGCCCCAAGTTAGAAAACATGAGAGTGAGGCCCTGGAGTTAGAGCAAGGGAGAGGCAGCTTCAAAATGTCTAGTAGCAGCAAAACCAAAACTCCCAAAACTGATAGAGGCTCAGAAACAAGCATGCCTTCTGTGATAACATATGGCCACACGAAACCCTCTGTGATAGTTCACGGAACAGCAGTGTCATCCTCCGTCATCATGCATAGCAACCAGGTCACCTCTGGGAGTGAGAAAAGCCCAGTGAGCAGCCCGTCCCCTGAAACCAGCAGCAGTTCACACAAAAGCATTCCCAGATCATTCAAAAGACATAGAGATAGCGTAGATAGACACAGAAAGAGGTCAAGAGACGGTTCAGACACAACAGAGGAGGACTCAAGAGGTAGACAGGGTGCGGAGACAGGCAGATTATCTCACAAATCACGGAAATCCCACAGCAAGAGCGACATGTCGAACTCAAAGCTGCTGTCAGCATCTGTAGGGTCACAGGTCAAAGAGGCAGGGCCATTGTGCCAGATTACTGTACGTATTGGCGAGGAAGCAATAGTGAAGCGCAGCATCTCCGAAACAGACCTCAGGAGAGACAAGAGCCACTCTCCTCCCAAAACCAAACGGGGTGAAACGTCATCAGTGCGGGATGCCAAGGACACACGCCACTCACACTCCCACCACCATCACCATCACCATAAACACCGCCCCCACCGCCGAGTGGAAGAAGAGGGTGATAAGGAGGGAGGGGATGGTGAGGAGGAGGCAGAGCAAAAGAGCTCCAAATCGCCCGATGAAGTGAGGGAGTACTACTTCCGAAGGGAGGTGCGTCATCAGGAGAGTGACCACGATGAAGAGGATAATTTATGGCGGCCTTACTACTCCTACAAGCCCAAGAAAAAGGCTCAAGCACATCTACAGAGGGTCAAGAGCTGGCAGAGGAAACTGAAGTTCAAGCGCTCCATCCGGTTGAAGAGGAGGACAGATAGAATCAAGAACCATGTGAGTAAAGAAACGGAGAAATCACAAGACGAAGACGAAGAAGAAGAAGACGAAGAAGAAGAAGAAGAAGAAGAAGAAGAAGAAGAAGAAGAAGAAGAAGAAGAAGAAGAAGAAGAAGAGGAGGAGGAAATGGAGGAGGCTGAAAAAGTGTCGAAATCTAACAGAGACATGGGAGAGGGGAAAAAGAAAGATGATCTCTTTGCCCCGTTAAAGGAGAAAAACAAAGAGGCAGAGGAACAAGTTACAGCGGCCCCTCTGCACTCTCCAAAGCCTCCTCCCTCTACCCCAGCGGCTCCTACGGGAATAAAGAGGCGGCCTTGGACCAATGGGAATGCAGCAGAGTGTGGAACATGCGGCCGCTGGTTCTCAAGCCCCAGGAAGAGAGACAAACACGAGCTGAACCATCTGCTGGAGTTTGTGTGCCTCTTCTGCCGGGCCACTTTCCCCTCAAGGGATAAGTTGGAGGACCACCAGAGAGCCCAGCATCCCAAGCCTGCTGAAGCCCCCACTGTACCCCAAAACGAGGACCTTGGCCAACAAGTCGAACCTGTGCCAGAGATTGCAAATGAAGAAAAAGGGGCGCAAATAGGGAGGAATTCAAGTCCGAGTCGCCTAAGCAGAAGAGCGCTATCACGACACACCTGTCCGCAGTGTCACAAGGTTTGCAAGACATCTTCAGCGCTAACTCGCCATATCCGACGCCATGAGTTAAGCAGTTCCCCCGAGAGAGAAAAGGAAGATAAAGATTCATCGCCAAAAACGACTGAGACAGTTGTTAACACTGTTAGCAGAGACCTAGAGACGGAAAAAGGCCCCAGTGCTCTCTCTGTTTCAGTTATCAGCTATTTAACACCAGACCCGCCCAGCAGTACTGACTATGTGGCATCACGGCAGCGTGCAGACCCCCTCAGTGAACCGACACGTGAACATCACATGTCAGAATCCGGTGACAAACCTGCGCTCACACATCCAGTTCTAGAGAGAGAGCCCAGTCCAGACCCTCCATTAGAAATCCCAGTAACCCCTACTCCCACTAAATTCCCGCCTGCCCCACCCTCGACTCTCCAGAGTGTGCTGGTCATGAATGGACCTGAATGTCTGGACTACCGCACCCCCAGCAAAAAGAGCCTAGACAGCCACAGAATACCCAGCCCTGTGCACATCGTGGCATCCAGCAACACCTCTCAAAATGTGCCCACAACGTCACAGACCAGAATAACCACTGCTACTCCTCCTGTTTCCATGACAACAGCTCTCAGCTCCGAGGGGGGATTTATGAAACGGGATGGGGTCATTATGGACAGAGAGAGGCAGGGCGGGAGCGGGATATTTCGTCACGTGGTTTACGAGGAGCCCCCAAGGGTCCAGGATCTCAGAGTTCAGTCGCTGTCCAGGAGTCCCTCTCCCGACGAAGCACAAGACCTGACCATGTCCTCCATTCTAGCGAGAGAGAGGGAGATAGAGAGGGAGAGACAGAGAGAGAGGGAGAGGGACATGGTGATAGAGAGGGAAAAAGAGATAGAAAGGTCCCATCAAATAAGTAGAGAGATTTCAGATTTCCAGATTTCTCTGTTGGTCCCTAAAGAGGAGCCCTTGAGCCCTGTGCCGTCCCCCCAGCATATCCCCCCTCAAACCACTATGAATGGATCCTCGTCCCACAGGCACACTCCCAAATCCCCCTGCCGGTCCCCCTCAACTATTGGCCTCATAGCTCAGGCCAATCGCCAGGTTCACTCCAGTTCACAAGGCCTCGACAGACTCCCCCTGCCCACAGGAGCAGCAGGTGCGTGTGAGCGCCCCTCCGCCCACGCTCTGCTTCTCCCCCGGGCCCCTCAACCACCTGAGCCGGAGCACCACGATACTGTATCTTCCAGAGAAAGGGACGCCACCCCAGTGGGCTACCATTCCCATAATTACCCCCTGCCCCTTATTGTGCCGGACAGCTACCACTCCAGTAAAAACCAGGAGGAAAACCTGCTCATGTCCTCCTATCCTGCTGGAGCTCTTCCTTTCGGCCCACTGGGGAAAATGATGGTCCCGAGTGGCGGGGACTTGGCTAAGCTGCCATTTTATCCGGACCCTTACCAGCTGCTCTACGGACACCAGCTGCTGGCCTACCCTTACAACCTGGCTGCTCTTCCTGTGACTCTGAACATGATGGCACCTGGGGGGGACAAAGTGGAGCCTCTGCCTTTCCTCCCGGCCATCTTCAACTACGCAGCCACCGCCGGCCCCTACATGGGAGCAGCCCCTCACCAGTTCATGGCAAACCCAGGGCTCTACAGCAGCAGCAGCAGCAGCGGCGGCGGCGGCGGCGGCAGCAGCAAGAAGCCGCGAGACAGCAGCAAACCGTAGGACACAGAAGCACTCTGAGGAATATATTTCAGTGGTGACGGCCTGGCCTGTTAAGGATGGGATGGGAGGGGAGGGGTGGGTGCTCACTGGGTCACTGAGTACACTCGCACAGCATCCCTGCCTCTCTTTCAATGAGTGGAGATCAGAGCTAGGCATTAAATCTGGAGTAGGATGAAGGGAGGAGAAGGAGCAAAGGAGCAGGGAGAGGGGCTGGTGTTATAGTGACGTATCCCCTCTCTTTACTCCCGCTCACCTTTCTCAGTGTCTCTCCTGTCTTGCTGTAGTGTGTCGTAGTTCTAGAGCTTGATTAACCTTCCTCTCTGACTCATTATATTATCAATAACAATAAGAACTGCTAACAGGGTGTGTGCTGTGTGACACATTAGTTGATTCTGCTTCCCTTTATAGCCACCATATTACAAGGATAAACAGTCTTCAGGGGAGGCTTGTGGATGAGATCAGGATAAGGGATGAAACAGAATAGTCCTTACTCAACACAGCTGACGGTGGAGTGTTAAGCATCCTTATTTGTATGAGTGAATGAGAATGAAGGTGTGTCCTGTCGTTAAATTGTCCATGACAATATGTACATGCACATGCGAGCGGGAATGTGTGCATGCGGAGGTGGGCCTTAGCAGGTATGACTGTGTACACTTTGAAGTGTGTGTGTGTGTTTTGGAGTATGTGTGTGAGTGCCTAGATCATTCCGTGTGAGACTTGCACGGCATTCCTCCTATTTGGAATGGCTGCTGTAGGTCAATGTGTAGAAGTGCATTTAGAAGTGATTCTTCATATCCAAATCATTAAGAAGTAAATGCTATGGCTGGATGCGAGTCTATGACAATGACAGATCATTTGAGCTTCTAATGTCTCGACTAACCTGGCACTGTAGGATCTTTATAGCATTCACCATAGTTTTTATATTATGTGCACAAAAATAGAAAAAGTAGAGGTCACTTTATGGGGACACTTGTAGCTGCTTGGGATATGTAGCTGGCCACTGGGTTAGAAATAAAGGCTGGTAGGCCATTGCACTTCCGCTTCTCATCTCATTTCCTTCATGTAAAATAAGGAAAAGAATACAAACCAGTCAGCCTTCATCTTGCGTAGCTTTTTCCTCTTTGATTGGAAGAGAAAAAGGCTCCATTTCCTAAGCCAGAAAGAAGAAAGTGACAGCAAGGAAGGAAAAAGACAAATGGATTCAGGGTATTTTCTGTATAGGACAAGAATATATGGGCACAAAACTGTTGGACTCTTGAGTCAGAAGGACCCACAGAAATGACTTTGGGGACAAAAAAACGTCCTGCTCCCCAACCGAGGGGACTGAGGGGTGTTGGGAATAGCCTGGGCTACTTCTCCTCCTTCCCTTATTACTAAAAGGTAGGAAAAGGCTGAACTTAGCAGCCAAAGCGGTGGCCGAAACCCCCCCAGGTGCCCTCCTGGGGCCTTTTTTGTTTTACGTGTAATGTTATCTTTATATGTTTGTTTTGTTAAACTATGTTGTTGTTTATGTTGTTTAGCCCTCTTACCAGATGGAAATGGCTTCAGTGAAAAGGGGGAGTAAACTTTAAAATATGAATGTAAATGTAGTCATGAGGTTAATGAAGTACAGCTGCATTAATGGTAGAGATGGTTCCTTTTTGTCTCTCTTTTGACACAAATAACCTGTTAAAGAAACCGTATAACGTCTGGTATGCATATATACAGTAGTCCTAGGAACATGTCAGTAAACTTGGGTTCTGTATCCACAAAGCATGAGCATCACTTGCTTCCTAACCGTTTATATCCTCAGCAGATCTGGCATTGTGCGCACAGCTTTTGTTTCCGTTTCCTTCCTCTGGAGATATTTCTGGCCTCTTCATCCTCATACCTTTTTTCATTTTTTTTTGTATTCATTGTAGACAATTCCATAAAACTTGGGGCCACATTTACTTCTCACAGTCACTACTTAGGAGAATCCTCCTTCTTCCCTCAAACACACACTCGCACACCTCTGAATGAAGTGCATATGTTTCAGTGTGTGTGCATGTGTGATGGTACTCTGGCACCTTTTGGATCAGACAGGAGTGTTCAAACACATTGTGACCAACTGCAGGGGTGCACAAGCATCCCCCTTGGGTGTGGTTACAAGCCTTTTGCGGGTAGCCGTACGTACGTGTTTTGTGTACGAGAGTGAGTGCCTGTGCGAATATGAAAACCAAATTAAATCTGCCGGAGCAGCAGACCCCTTGGCAGTATATGGGCCACTTGTTCTTTTTTTATTTTCCTGTGGGTTAGTTTCAGTGTAAAAAAGCCTTGCTGTCTCCAATACACTATCTCAAGCCATTCCTTATAGATGGACATGTTTGTGTTTTGGACCATTTCTTATGCCATAGTTTGCCATCATGGTTATCATACAAACCAAAAGCATGCAAATCGACGTATTGTAGTGACCGAACTGGAATCTGGTGGTAATATAAGACTATTCACTGTATGTTTTCGTTTTTAATGAATGTGCCTCTGCTTTGATATTTAAATAATTATCTATAGTATGATGTGAATCTGCCAGATTTCAACTGTTAAGGTGCCTTGTTATGGCATAAGAAATATGAATAGTAAATGAAGCGCTTTCTTGAGAAATGACGAAGAGTTGGAGATAGATTTCATGGCTTTATTTGCTATGAAGCTGTTCATAGACGTAGGGGTGTGGCTAAACTGTTTTGGTATCGTGTACATGTCTAGGATAATACTGTGCCATATAGAGCCCACAAAATATGTTAATGTTATTTTTAAAAGATGTTTTAATGTTGCCTGATGACTTTGTCTTTAGATTTGATACAAAGGCTTGTAGCCACAGCTCTCCCAAAGTCTGTAGTCTCCTTTTTCCGACATTCTTCCTGTTCTCTCTCTTTCCCCCTTGTTTCCGTCTCTCCCTTCCTTTATCTTTGCTGCAATCAAACAAAATAAAGTATTAACCTGATGACCCAATGAAATCAACACTAGTCTGGCCTCATGTTTTTTAAATCAAGTTTCTTTTAATCGTTACATGTTGATCTCGAGGTCTTAATGTGAACCATGTGCTTAAAGTTGGCGTATGCCTGTTTTCACATTGTTGGATATTAATAGATGCTTATTGTCCACTAAGATATTCATTTTACAATTAGTGATTTGATAAAAGCAGAACAAGATATAGTCACATTTGCACTTCTTTTAAGCACATGGTCCACTGGTTTATACCTATGTTGTAAATAGTATTTGTTATCTTTGGTAATTCCTTCCCTGGTGTTTTCTTTTATGAATAATTAACCGCAGCCACGTCTGCGTTGTTTTTTGTTTGTTGCTGATTTCAGAGAGTTGATTCCTTATCATCCGTGACTTAGCACTTTCGCAATAGTGACACTCAGTGGTTTGAACAGAAACAGTCAGTCATTTAACTTTGCACTCTCACAATGTGATGTCAGAGATACTAATGAAATAAAAAAAGTAAATGTATTGCATCAGGGATTTTGGGGTTTTAAAGGTACAGTGCCAAAAGTAATTTAGATTTTCAGGAATGATTTGACCTCAAACGGTATTTTTTCCCAAAGCAGACGTTTTAGTTCACGAAAGTAGAAAAAACGCAGGTGTTGACATTATGACTACTAACATTCTCTGTGTTTTTTTCAAATGCCCCAGAGACGTAGTCCCTCCACTTACAATATAAAACTACTGTGAAAAAAAATACCTATTCACGCCAAACCTAATAGACATGTGACAGACTTTGAGTTCAAACATGAGAAATGCTATGTTTTGGTATGAATTTCAGAATAACACATCCAAAAAACCGATTGTCCCTTTCTGTGTATGTGTGTGGGGTTTTGCACTTTTCTTGGAAATTACAGCCTTCCTGGAAGGAGAATGTGTCACTTGAATCGTGCAAAGAAAAAAACTGTAGCAGAGTTAATCTTTCATCACTCTCTCTCTCCTCTTTGAAAACACAGAAGTGATTCCTGCGTATTGGGTAAACATCAGTCTGGCTTAGGTCACTCACCTGACTCACTCTACACGAGTCACCACAAAGGCCAGAGATATACAGCCCATTATAAATGAACATTGAAAAAATGTTTGCTAAATGTTGGATTATTTCTTAAATAACTCTCTTTGTTTTACTGCTGCCCCGTCTTTTGTCTAACCTACATAATTGCAAAAGTTATACCCCCGCACCCTGTGTGGATCAATACTGGGCATTCACCAATAAATAATGTGCTCTCTGGACCCGGGACAGTGAGCCTGCTCAACCCCCGCTTCAAAAACCTCCTGTTCCTCAGCCCATCACTGCACCTCAGGTATAACTTGGAGTGAGCAGACCACCTAAGGGCTAAACTGTCTGGACACTGAAAACCTGGGTGTGTGAAGACAGTGAAGGATGGCCGTGTTTTGGAAACCAATGGCAGCTGGAATGCTGCTCACTGTGAGCCTCACTCTGCTGGGATGGGGAGTTGAGGGGCAGGGGGGTACACAAGCAAAGGTATGTTAACACTGGTATGTGTGATTGTTGTTTTAAAATTGTCTAAGGATAGTCTAAATCTTGTGTATTCATTGGCCATATCAAAAAATCAAAGTCAACTTTATTGTCAATCTTCCAGTTTGTGTGATCAATTCATTCATTCGATTCAACATGAAATCCTCATATGGATAAACATGATACTGTAAATGCATTTTGTAGCTTTAATAAAGTCCCTAAATATCTTAATTGTTCAGAATATGTGAAATATCTTTTTTTTTTTGTTGATTAGAGGTCACACATTCTGTAATTCTTAGATTCATCAGTCACAAAGGCAAGTACTAAAAAAAATTCAAAACGTCTTTTAATTCATGCTTTGTTTTATAGGTTGTTGAAAGATTGAGAATACAAAACGTGCTTTATAAAAGTCAAAGATTAAAATCAACTCATATGCAATTCAGATTTCAGTTGAAGAGCTGTTTCCTGACCTCATAATAGCCTACTTTATTTACACTTTGGACTTTGCTCAGATCGTAGGAGGACAAATAAGGGCGCTATCAAAAACATCCGCTGTTTTGGCCCAATTGAAGGATTTTCTATCTGGTTTGATAATAACCATTGTTTATTAATATACTGTAATTAAGTAACTGCAATATGGTCCTCCTTCACATTGATTTTGGACTACATTACTGCTTGCACTTCCCTTGCTAAACCACTCATTAGCTAATTAAAAACGAAATCCCTCAGTTTAATAAGGTTTAAACCATTTGGCCACCAAGATAAAGACGATAATGAACATGAATTGTGCAAGAAAAAGAACTGAACCATGTTAAATGAATACCTTGTTGACAATGTGTCTTTTCTAGAAAGTAGTATCAGGCGAGGCTACCGTCTACCTCGGCCAGGACAGAGACATCTGGAGGCCAATAATCCACACCGCGTCAAACCTCAGTGACATCAGCAGGTACGTCAGCAGGAGCTGGAAGGCCTCACATCAACTTCTTGCTGAAAATATATGGTGTAGGAGGCAAAAGGCTCTTTCATATTTAAACATTAATGCCGGACCTGTAAGCTGGATCAAATTTTGCAGACGAAAGCCCAGATAGGAATTCTAGTCCTGTTGGAAAAGTGTTGATCTTTGCCTCCTTAATTCTGATAACATAAACCTATAAAACCCTTCATTGTAAAACCTTTGAGGCTCCTACTGTAACTATTAGTGATCTTTACCCCTCTGTCAGTGAGCCTTGTCTGGGTAAAATGTAAGACAAAGTATTGTTGGTCATCTTTTTTTTAATCACCTGCATCTCCTTGAATTTAAGACTACTCTGTTCTGTTTCTGCAGTATAAAGTCATCATTCCAGTTACGGACCTTTGACCCGGAAGGTGCCATTTTCTACGGAGATACCAAAAACGGGGACGACTGGTTTATTTTGGGTTTGAAAGACGGCCTCCCTCTGATGCAGTTCAGCATCGGGGGCAACCATGTCAGTGCGGAAGGCGGACCCCAGCTCAATGACGGAAAATGGCACAAAGTGAGTTTTGTTTTAATTTGTAGCAAGTGATAAGGATCTAAATAACACAGATCTCATTTCCTCAAAATGGACATCTTAATAATAATCATACAGTATTTTGGACATGAAAAACTGTTTGTCTGAATGCTTCTTGTGCTGCTGGTGCCACCCAGCTGGAGGTGAGCAACCAAGATAATTTCGTGATTCTAGATGTGGACGGCTCCAAAGGGCTGGTGGTGGGCATGGGGGGGCCGTCCAAACAGACAGAGGAGGTCCTTACAGGGGAACTCCGACTAGCCCTCGGCGGGATCTTAATCGACAAGGAAAAGATGATGATTCAGGTATAGTGTGTTCATTTACCCTGGAATACTTTGTAGTGGGTGACATTTTTTTCTGTCCTGTTATTTTGTAATGATATGGCCTAATTGTCATCAAGATGCGTCAACTACATTATTTTACTTCATACAATACTTTCACTAAATTAACATGAACCTGTCAAGTTAATAACGTTTTCTCAGGAAGTCTAAACGGTACTATTCATAAAGTCTTAATAGTTTTGCAATTAAGCTCAGTTAGAGGACCTTGATTTAAAATGACTTGCTCCACTTTTGAATGTCATCACAAAAGGATTTGAAGAGTCTCAGAGTCTTTAAGGGGGAATTTGTTTTTCATCTTGAAGTACTAACACCTGAAAATTGACTTCAATGTTGGTGTTGCACCACACTGCAACATGACTTAGTGTCAACATGTGGTCAGTTATCCTTGGTAATAAAACAGACATAGCACCATTACGTCGGTCTATAAATCACAGCGTGTGTTTTTTTGTTGTTTTACTAGTAAGTTGTAACAGTACTGTAAGGGGGTTTTCTGGTGGTCGCGCCCTGTAACAGGACTGTGACAATGCATACTGAGCCACTCACATGTTTGTCTTGCATTTCTCTCCCCTAAATGCAATGTTTTTTGTTATTTGCCGTAGTTTGATCCTAAGATGGACGGCTGTGTGCGTGAAGGCTGCTGGCTGAACCTCAGAGCCCCCTGGGAGGTGGAGGTGGAGGAGCTCTGGCCCTGCTATCAAGACATCATTCCTGGCAGCTTCTTCCCTGGCACTGGATTTGCTGTTTTCAACACCTCAGGTGGAAACATTTGGCTCAATTATACAAGCTATAGACAACATTTACCCAGATTATAACAAGCTTTCAAACAGGCCAGCATAATGCATTCTTACATATCATTGCATTTTAGGTAGCAATATACTTTTCACCTGATTTCAAATTGTATTCATTGTGTGACTTTTTTCTGGTGTGCAGTTTTCCCTGTTGAGGACGGGAAGGGGGTCAAGATTGAATTTCGGGGAAATTTCACTTTGATGCATGGGACCATTTTGAGCATCAGGGCTCCTGGGCAAGAGATGATGCTGACTTTAATGGCCGATAATAACACACAGGTATGAACACACATCTGAGATGAACTGAACTTGAGAACACTTCCATCTCTTCACATTTGCAGATATATACATATTTCAGACCACTTTGAATTTATTCACAGAGCTATATTACCTTAACTTTGTTTCTATTTTTTGAATATGCAGGAGGTCACCCTCACGTTCGGTTCAGAAGAAATCAGTATGAAATCTGATAATTTCAAGAAGCTGGTGATAACCTTTGAAGAAGAGATGCTGCAAGTATTTCAAGTTCGAGACAAATTTCAGGATTTACAAATCAAATCAGTGAGCAACTCAGGTTTTTTGACCACCTGGAGAAACGGTCGTATCGCCTTTGGAGGTCTCTTAGGTAAGGTTAAACAGCAATGACATTTTCAGTCTTGAATAATATCTGAACAGCTTGTCTTTATATCTAAGAGGAATCTGATTTGCAGACAGTGTTTATAGAAAAAAACACACAATAGAAACGTTTATAACCATAAATAACATTGAAAGCACATCAAAAGAACAAGTTTGCAATACAAGGTCAACAGTTTTTATTTTCCACTTTTCAGGTGAGGGTGAAGACAATGTGGGCTCCCAGTTCTTGACAGGCTGCCTGGAGATGATCCAGGTTATGGGGAGGGATTTGGATTTGGATTTTACTGTCAAACATCCATCAATCGTCTCTCACAGCTGCCCTGCATAACAAATGAAAGTACACATGTTCAATATGTGGACTCAGATGCATTTGGCACGAATTAAAACAAAAAGAATACAATGTTTTTAAAACTAAAAATTGTCTGGTTACAGTTTTTCCGTAGGCAAATTTGACATTTGTATTAATAAACTCCTAAAGTGTGAAGAGTTTTCAATAAACTATTAATCTGTTGTTGAAAATATATCTCTCCCGCTAGCTACATTTTGAAAAAAATATGATTGTTTTTAATATGGCTATTAAACGACATATTTTAAGGCAAACTGAAGGAAATTGAAACACTGATTTAACACTAATTATTAGTAATGTATGAGGGAGGCGGAGATTTAGGACATGGATTTTGCTCCCTCTAGTGGACTGTTAAAGATAATGTTAGAGTCAAACTATCCAGAGTGAATTATGCTACTCTTTACAATGAAACACCAAAAGGAAAACTATATTGTTTGTCATCCAATAATTGATTTTAGCATATGAACAAATGTCCAGTTGAAAATTAATGCTCTATTGAGTATGTACCGCAGACTTTTTAAATTTTTGTATTTAACAATTTGCAAACATCATGGCTTAAAGATATTTGTGTTAGACAAATAGGATCGTGTGCATATAAAAAATCAACACACAAGCAAACAAATAATCATCAAGGGCTAGGTTTTTTTTGGTAAATCATATTCTTATTTTAGAAATATTTCCATTGTATTATTTCTTATGACTTTAATAGCTTTCATGCTAAGCCTGCTTAGATCAGTGTTTAACATCCGAGAATGAAATGTTATTAACCACAAAGTAATCATTGTTGTAGTCCATGTATTACAGAAATAATAATAATAATAATAATAACAATAATAATAAAAAGCTTTATTTATAAAGCACATTCTCAAGAATAAAACACTATCAACCAGAAAAGCATCTTTGTTGTAGTCCACGTATTAGAGAAATAATAATAATAATAAACATAATTGAAAAAAATCTTTATTTATATAGCACAGTCTCAAGTAAACAAAACATTATAAACTAGTTAATCATCTTTGTTGTAGTCCACGTAGGCTATTAGAGAAATAAAAAATAAATAATAACAATTATACGTTTTATTTATATAGCACATTTCATACACCAGGTGCAGCTCAAAGTGGTTTAATACATTTGGCACACAATACAGAAATGGGTGCGGTGCGGTCCAGTCGGGTCCAGTCGTATGGATTGATTGCAGTCAGATTGCAGTCAGTTATCTCCCCGCTGCCCTGCCACACACCGTTAGCAACTGCCGCAAACCGCTACTGTCGTGAATACTGGCCGCCCACTGAAGATGGCGGCGGAGCTGCATCCGCGGAGCGGAAAGCTAATCGGCCTGTCCAACTCAAACCGAACCGCCCGGCGCAACCAGCCAGTCCAGGAGTTCAACCATGGGCTGGTGCTTAGTAAGGAGCCGCTGAAGGACCGGGATGTCTTCACCGTCCGCATTGACAAGAAGGTAAACAACAACAGGCCCGCCGCTGCTGCGCCTCCTCAGCGGGGAGGAGAGCAGCGGGAATGCGGGAGCAGCGCCTGCGGGACGGGCCGGGGGTCTGCCTCTGTCCGCAGTGACAACCAGGGGGGTTTGCACTGCTTGACAGCGAGCAAGGTTGTTGCAATTATTCAGGGTCATATTCCAAACACTGTCAGAGATTTAGCTGGGACACATGGACTTAAAAACACTGTGTGGACATTTTAAACGGATGACTTGGCTAACGATACCCTGCTTGTGTTGCCTTGGTACCGACAGTTAGCCATGCTAATGAGCCGCTAGCCGGAGCAAGCTGTGCGAGCTCAGGCTAGCTGGGGTTAGCTTCTCTGGAAGGTGCTATTGGAGCACTGTTGTGTGTTGACATGGACTTCATGTTGTTTATTGCACGACGGGAGCTTGACTAAGCTTGTTAACGTAGCTCTGCTTGGTTCTGTCGGTGACAGTCGTAGGTGCCTGTCAGCCTCTCTTCCTTTCTGGCTCGGTGGCTAATAATACTGCAGTGCTCATACCAGGTTGAGCTAGTGACTCAAATGCTATGTGTGAACCTAAATGGACAAAAATGCGGACAATTAGCCGCTGATATTAGTTACTAGTGTCATTATATGATATTCAGTGACGTGTTACTATTACACACATCTTGGTCCAGATATAAAGCATATTCAGACCATGATTCAGAGTCAGACCCTACCAACCTGCTCCTGCAGCCCCGCTGGTGTATAATGCATGAGGAGTTTGAACACTTATAGGTATACATCCTAAAATAAACCACTTTCTCTTTTATTGCAAGGACATTTGCTCTCATTTAACCTATTTGTAACTCAGTGACAATTTCAAGACATTTTACATAAAAATTCAACAAATTATAGGAACAATTTGATTTATTTCTATGTTATCTTTATGTCCATATTGTTGTTTATTCATCCAGACCCAGATATGTTAGTGTCCTTGTTTCCTAAGAAGTTCGTCACATATTCTTGGAAAGGTCTCCCTTTTGTTACTCGGAAGATATGTCAGATTTGCCATTAGAAATATACTGTTTACATCCATTTTATTGTAAGGTTTAGTAGTAATGCATCAGTTTTTATTGATTGCATTTTTGCTGGCAGCCAGTAAAAGCTTATCATAGTGCCGATGGCTCTCTATAGCTTAATTGATTATTTTAGAAAGATACATTATCATGCTGAAACTCATAACATAAAGTATAACAATATTATCCCCAAAATGTCGTTTATCTTTTCCCATGACTACTGTTCAGTATGAATACTTAATTTGAGTTGTGTGAAAGAGCAAATGTAATTCTTCCTTACGTACGTTTCCCTGAGTTTTTAATCTTTCAACATAAATGCTTATCAACGACTCAGACCTCTCCATATCATATCAAGGCCTTTCCACAGTGTTTACATTCTGGCTCTTATCAGCGTAGTTTGGTATAATGGCTTCTGCCTCTGTAGTCTTCAACCCTTGTGAGTTTGTCAACAACATGTCCGCTCCAGAGTTAGTGCCAACTGGGCCACACACACCCTCAGAATGACATAGTTGGGTTGTTTGGAAAATCTGCCATGATAAGACACAGCAGCATGTGAGACAGTGAGGCTGAACATGTGTTTTAATAGCACCCACTGTATGTGAACGTCAATGATTATCCATCCCTTATGGTGCTCTCAGCCTGATGAGGGCTCTCATAAACAGCCTCATGCTCTGATATGACATGCATTGTCTGTCTGAAAATCAATACTCTTCCATCACGGAGCGCCCAGATGGGCATGACTGGCCATCCTGTCTAATGATGTCCACAGTGGATTTTGGAAAACGAGTGCAGGAGGCAAGCAAATTAAGCTATTCATTGGACAGTTTTACCCAGAGTAGGACGCTGTCAGTGCTTCAGAGTTTGTATGTGAAGCTTTGATCTAAATAAATCCAGAGGAATATCACATACTGTGCGTGTTAGCCTAGTGTTGGTTTTAAAATCAAAATGCTCTAAACTTTAGCTTGTATCAGTATGCTATTGGTCAGCCTATAAGAGCTGATTTAATCAATAATTATATTACTACTACTACTACTACTACTACTATTTCTACTTCAAACTACACTCTATAGTGCCAGCTCTTCAGTTACTGTCTAAATCTTATGATAGTAAACTGAACATATTGGAGTTTAGGGCAGATGTTTGGGTACAAAATAAACAGCTAGATTTATTGTTGATGATAATAATTGTCACTTGGAGTGCCATAGCAAACATTACCCTTAGAATGCGACTTGTATCATATTATTCTGTTATCAGTAGAGCAGAGCGATAAGTTGATTGGAGGAAAAATAATGGCCAACATGAAATAATCAATAATTGTTTTATTTGTCTTAAATGCTTGTGCTGTTTTCAGACTATAACATATAGAAATGTCCTGCATTTCTCTGTTTTACATTAAATTAAGGCAAAACGGGACATTTAAAGACCAATAATCGAAAGCCCTTGTTATTAGTTTTGTTTTGCAATATCATACCCACAATTGAAATGGCTTTATACAGTATATCATGGACTTAGGATGTTACTTATAATTTTGTCTCGATTTGTTTACAAGGTCTGTTAGATGAGAAGCATTTCCTGTTAGTCCTTGCAGTGTCTCGCAGGCTCTGCTATTGATGCAATTAATTTTTCATTCTTTTTGGAAGCTGCCCAGTAGCCCTACTCTGCATGTATCCTGTAGTTATAGGTCTTTAGAACAGAAAGGGAGAGAGAAGGCTGGGAGGCAGACGCCCACAGGCTTCTGTTACGTAAGAGATGAGCAAAGGAAGTAGATGTCTGTCTCCTCCACACACTGGCCCGGTCAGGCTGAGTTACTACTATATCTGTTAACCCAGATACCCAAGCTTTCGTAGCACACTGCCTTACATCGCACCCGCCACAGAGCGCAGGAGGACACCATGGGAGCACACGAAGGAGAGGAGGCTGTGTAAAAGACAATATATTGAATATGACACCGTCACGGAGTAAATCTTTTTTTGTTATCTCCTCGGTGCGGAGGTGAGCTGCAGAAAAAGAATCCCAGGAGCTGATAGGGGATTTCAATGTTATGTTCAAGGTCACTTTATCAGGGTGGATATTTGCCAACTTGAGCTTGATTCCCGTGGAGTACCAGAGGGGGGGAGGAAAGGAAAACGTAGAGGGAAGTGAGATTGATAACAACAATTCCAGGGACTTAATTTTTTTTTCTTGAGGAACGAACCGCATGGCTTTTTGTGGGATGCTGTTCTCCGGGGGGGCAGCAGGTGGAGTGCAGCGAGCCAGGAGATCACTCCTCAGTGGGATGACGCGGGGTTCGTGCCCCTGTGTCGGCGAGCATCTGCCAGGCTGAAATATCTCGAAGCAACACTCCGAATCTCCGCCAGCTGCACTGACTCGGCACTATTGCTGACACGGCACTCCTGTCATCCACAATGAAAAATATAATTCACCCCTGGAGATCAATAAAGTATCGCATTATTGTGAGCTGATGTGGAGTCTTCTGTTTCTGGGAAGATATGGATATCTTCTGCAGCCTGTTATGCGATATGATTCCAAAGTCATGCAAAGACGAAGGGAGCTTCGAGGTGAAACGTCTCTTCTTTTCATATCTTGAATCTTTGGGAGGACAATCGTGAAGGGGAAGCTTTCTTGCTTGATTATGACTTGCTTTGTGCGCACAGGTTTAATCATCACAGCTGGACCGTAAATAGTTAATACGTCATGGTTGTTGAACCTCTTACTGTTGTTTCGGTCACTATACAGTTGAAAGGAGCAGACATTATAAAATAAGTGTGTCGTTGGTAAATCAAGTAGCTGAGGAATTATAATTCACTCTACTTTTTGTTGAGTAACACAAGAATCTCCACAGATTGTCTAGGCGTTATAAAAAATATATATGTCAAAAAGGAAAAACTCAAGATTATCTTCTCACTGTATGGAAGCTTTGATGCACCAAAAAACGATGCCTTTTGGGTTTCAAGTGGCCAACACGGCAAAAGAAACGTTTTGATGGTCAACTAAATGAGCAAAAGTATATACAAGACTAAACAGGAAGTGTGTCATACTGTCTTTTTTGCTCTTTAATCTTGTCTCCTGCAACTGGTCTATATATAGTACGGCTTTGTACATCAATGTGTATTGCAAATCTAATTTTAGAAGTGCTGGTGTACTTGGAGATGAGAAATGAATTAGTTTGACCCTAGGTGAATTCTCCTTCCTCACAGTATTAAGTTATTATTCCTAGACGCACAGTCATTGCTTCTACATTTTGCTATCACATGAGTTAACGTGTTTTTTCGATTGTGTCACCGTGTGCTCACACTGTCCTGGTTCATTTTCAAAGCAATGCTCCCTGAGCTACGTTCTTCACTGACAGAAGGACTAAAAATAACAAGATGGATCATACAACAAGGCACACTTTGTTTTTCCACAGATATCTACCTGCAGTTTTTAGCACAGCTCTTACATCACAGCTTAGAGTATCTTTGTGATCGGTGTAACAGCTGCTGGAAACTGTCTTGCGCTATTGTAGTAGGACTTGACCGTGACTAGTCCTTATTGTGATATATAAACATTTCATTTTCCTCCTCAGGTGAACTCGTGGAGCGGTTCCATTGAGATTGGTGTGACGGCGCTTGACCCTGGTGCTCTGGACTTCCCCAGCAGCGCCACAGGCCTGAAGGGCGGCTCCTGGATCGTGTCGGGCTGCTCGGTGCTGCGGGACGGCCGATCGGTCCTAGAGGAGTACGGCAAGGACCTCGACCAGCTCTCAGAGGGCGACCGCGTGGGCATCCAGCGCAGCGCCCGCGGGGAGCTCCACCTCTGGGTGAACGGGCAGGACTGCGGAGCGGCTGCCAGCGGCTTGCCGCCCAAACTGTGGGCGGTGGTGGACCTGTACGGGAAATGCACTCAAGTGACGGTGGTGAGCTGTGAGCCACCGCCACCCTCTACAGAGAAAGAGACAATAGAGCGGGACGAGGAGGTGGATGAGGTGGATGAGGAGGATGAGGAGGAGGAGGAAGAGGAGGAAGAGGTGGTGGTGTGTGGGGGACGGGAGGATGCAGGGATCACGGCACTGATGAATGTGGCAGCAATGAATGGAATGATGAATGGAGATGAAGGTAAGGGGCTTTTTTTTGTCTATCAATATTGGTCTTTTTTTCCCAACCTGTTATCTGGGATTTATTGCTTCACCCCTTTCTCTCTTCTCGCTCTCAGTGCCTGAGCTTAGCTGCAGTCACAACAGACCAGACAAGTTCCCCAACAACCTGGAGCCTGACACAGGTAAGGGAACATTTAGATCAGTTGATGCAAAATCTGAATCTGGCTTATTGCCAATTAGCTTTACATACCTAAACATAGTAAGATATATTTAGTTCTCTGGAGTTGTTTCTCTGACCAGTATTCACATCTTCCTCTCTCTCTCCACAGTTCTAACGGAGCACCAGCTCTTTGACGTGTTCAACAACGCAATAGTGTCTTTTTATCGCTCTGAGGATGAGGGTGGAGGGGAAGATGGCGGAGGTGGAGGAGGACCAGGAGGTGGCAGCGGCGGCGGTGCAGGAGGAAATTCAGGATCTGAATCCTCTTCCAGAAACGACAGGGGGAGCAGCAGTGGAGGAGGTGCAGTTAACAGCGACAGTGGGACACCAGGAGGAGGAGGAGGAGGAGGAGGTGGTGGTGGAGACAGTGGAAATACTAACAACACTCCGTCTGGTAACGGAGGGGTGGGGCTGGCGGCCGTGACGGGTGTGATGACCACCAACGACGCGCTGCTCTTCCACGAGAAATGCGGCACACTGATCAAACTGAGCAACAACAACAAGACGGCGGAGCGGAGGAGACCGCTCGACGAGTTCAACAACGGCGTGGTGATGACCAACCGGCCGCTCCGACACAACGAGATGTTTGAGGTGATACAGTCACACCTATTATACAAATACTGTAGTACAGCTGGCGAAGCACTACGGTTTAATAACCCTAATGTCTTTGTAGATAGTTGTCACTGTAGTAGAGAGTAGAGTATATCTGACAAAAGGCGTTGCTATTGATAGTTTTATATTTAGCATCAAACAAGAGTAGAGCTGCAAAAAATGATGAATTGTTTCTGACGGTAAATTGCCAAATTTCTATCAATTGTTTCCTTAAGAAAAAATGGTAGAAATTCCTTTCCTCGCTATGATTTTATTGATGAAGCTGTTTCTGAAATGTGCTGTCAAATACAGTACACAGTTTATTCTCCCCTTTTAGTCACACAAATGTCATGTACTTTATTCCTGATGGTCTGGTGCTAATCATTACCTGTGCTTTAACCAGAATAGAAAACACAATTCAGTATTATAAAGGTTAAAATCTATTCATTTTATATTTCAGATCCGCATCGATAAGCTGGTGGACAAGTGGTCAGGCTCAATAGAGATTGGTGTGACCACACACAACCCCAACAACCTCGACTATCCTGCAACTATGACCAATCTGCGATCAGGTAACATATACACACAGAAACTGCTTTAATCAAAACAGTGGTTGTTCATTGTGAAATGACTGACATTATCCTGGCTGCTTATATTAGGTACAATCATGATGAGTGGCTGTGGGATCCTGACCAATGGGAAAGGCACCCGCAGGGAGTACTGTGAATTCAGCCTCGATGAGCTCCAGGTTTGTGATGACGCAGACACACACTCTTTCTGCCACCTGCTGTGTGAGTGTGTCTGTTAATATTCTCCATCAACTCCTCTCATCCACGTTCAGGAGGGAGATCACATCGGGCTGATGCGCAAAGCCAGCGGAGCGCTCCATTTCTACATCAATGGCATCGACCAAGGTGAGGCTCACGGAGATGCTTCATTCAGGGTGTATGATGACCCTGCTGGGGGCTTGGAAGTGGGTGGTCACAGTAATGTGGCAAAGCGAACCGTGAAATACAGATGTTCAGATTTGTATTATCCCATGATGCTTTCCGTAATTATCTGTTATTGACTTATTGCAAAATGGTTAGGATTAATGGCCGGATACCCACAAACCATGGCTGTTAAAAGCATCTGTAGCTATATTAAGATCTGACTAAAAATACACTAACAGGAACAGCCTGAACAGCATTGTTAAAACCTGCTCTAAGATCATCGGCGTGAAACAGAGAGACTTCTGTAACCAACAAATTCTGCGGAAAGCAGAGAGCATTCTGGCCTCTCCAGGTCATGTTCTTTCACATGAATTTCGTCTGTTGCCATCAGGGTATAGATATGCTCTACCTGCTCTAAAGACTAATCGCTTTTCAAAATCATTCATCCCTTCTGCACTCAAACTTTTAAATTCTTGAAAGGCTTTTAACGTGATTATTTATTTATTTATTTATTTATTTATTATTGTGATGCTATGAACTATTTATAGTGTAAATTGGAATGATCCACATCTGTGCGTTTTCTTCCTGTATGTTCCTGCCTGTGTACATGACATAAGCTGCTGCTCATAACCAATTGCCCCTTGCGGGATTAATAAAGTTGTTGATTGATTGACTACCTTTGTAATTATAATCAATATTACGGCTGGGAAATACAAGTTATTATAAATATTATATCGATATCATGACATGACTAGATATTCTAATATGTAGCCTTTTCCTGCTTTTAAAGGCTGGTCGAGCCGTATAGCTTTTCTATGATTGGCCCACTTAGTCAATCAATCCAAATCTCATGTATGATGCATAATATCGAGGTATTTTGTCCAAATGATTGTGATATTTAATTGTCTTTGTGTATGTACTACACGCATAATAAACACAGATACTGTTGGCTGTGGAGCATGTGTGTTTCAAGTTCCTCTGTTTCCCTGCTAACCCCTCACTATCTGTCCCAGGTGTCGCTGCAGCCCAGACCCCCGCCGTTGTCTACGGTGTGGTCGACCTCTACGGCATGGCTGTCAAAGTCACCATAGTCCACAACCACAACCACAGCGACCGCCTCCGACGCAACAACGCCATCATGAGGGCTCTATCGCCCGACGTGGGCCGACGTGGGCCGGTCCTCTCCATCACCCCGGACTCAGAGGGGGCAGACCGCCTGCTCTTCCACCACAACTGTGGCCAGAAGGCCGCCATTATCAGTGAGGGCAGGACGGCGCTGCGGCCACAGTGAGTCCAGCTCCCATGATGCCTCTGAGTTATTTACAGGCTTTATTATTCTTTACATGGATGCTATTACTTTAAAATCTTTATGGACAACTGACAGCCTTAAGGCAAGACACTATATTGTTTATTCATACACTGGTCAGTTTTGCTTTCAGAAATGTCTTTTAAACATCTGACTTACACATTTAGGTATTTATTTTATGACACTTGCGTTTTGTATGCACCTTTTTAATATTCAGCCAAATTCACCAGAAAGCAACATAGATAATTAATGATATACAGTACATTTTTAAACAAAACATGTTACTCTTCTTAATGTATCTTTAGCAATGGAGAATGTGTAGAACTCCTCTACTTCAAACATAAACGGTTACGCATGAATACATTTACAACCCTGCTTCCACAGTGCGACTGACGACTTTAATCACGGCGTGGTGCTGAGTAGCCGGCCGCTGCGCTCCAACGAGGTGTTCCAGGTCCGCATAGACAAGATGGTGGACAAGTGGGCGGGTTCCATCGAAATCGGTGTCACGACGCACAACCCTGCATACCTGCAGCTGCCCTCCACCATGACCAACCTTCGCTCAGGTAACATACAAATATAACAGTGGTATTTCTACTACATTTCTTTGCAAGTCTTGATCCTACAACAAAAACAACTTTCTTGTGTGATTTCTAGGGACGTGGATGATGACGGGTAATGGTGTAATGCACAACGGAACAACAATCCTGGACGAGTACGGACACAACTTGGACCGCCTCAAGGTGAGTGATGTTTATTTTTACATTTATCACCCTGATTCCTTCCTCCGTTATCCTGCAAGGCTTTTCTTTGCCTTTTTCTTTAAATGTAACCCTTTCTTCCGTCTTGCAGGCAGGTGACACAGTAGGGGTCGTGCGGAAAGAAGACGGCAGCCTCCACTTTTTCGTAAACGGCGTTGCTCAGGGCCCTGCAGCCTGGAATGTCCCTCCCAGTGTGTACGCTGTAGTGGACCTCTATGGCCAGGCTGCTCAGGCCACCATCATGGACGACATGGCCATCATGGACGACATGGGTGAGAGGGGGGGAGACACACAGGGCTCCATTTTAAGAAAATAACTGATATTCAACTTTGAAGGGTGTAAACCTGTCTCTGTTTCCCCCCTTTCTTAGGGGACCTCTTGCCTCTCACAGAGGACAGCTCAGAGTGTCCCACGGCGATGTCCCCCGGGAGCCCCTTATCGGTGGGAGGAGCCATCACAACCAACGACCTGCGATTCCACCATCTGCACGGCACGAATGCAGTCATCACCAACGGGGGGCGCACCGCCCTGCGTCAGAACTGCCGCAGCGAATTCAACGACGCTATCGTCATTTCCAACAGGTGAGGAAACATATGACGAATCATTTCCAGTTAATCATATCCGCCTATAGATCATAATATGTTACTGGGAAGTGTTGTATGGCTTGGCTGGGACACCCCTGTCTTCTGTGGCATTGCTCATAAAGCAGGATTATGAACTGCTCCCATGAGCTAATAGCAAATCGGCATTCAAAGAATATTTTGTGATGTAGCTTCCTCTGGATTCTAAACGTGTTTTCTCCTTGCAGGTGCCTTCGAGATGGAGAGCTGTTTGAAATCATTATTCAGAAGATGGTGGACCGCTGGTCGGGTTCAATCGAAGCAGGTGATGTTTTTCTATTGTGCCCATACTGCTTTTTTAATATGTGACTACGTTGCATAGCAAAAATGACCATATATAAATGCTACTGTATGTTACCTAACCACATGTAAGACTTAACGTGAAAATGTATTTCATGTGTAATCACCACAGATTTTCTCCTCCCTCCTCTGTGTCCAGGAGTGACAGCCATCAGGCCCGATGAGCTCGAGTTTCCCAACACTATGACCGATATTGACTATGACACTTGGATGCTCAGGTAGACCACTTTATATACCTCTAATGAATATTAACATAACGCAAATGTGTTCTTATCCAGGTGCAAACTTCTCACCTTTCGGCGAAATTCGCCGTTTTGATTCCAAAATAGGTCGTTTGTGTGATTCATGTAGATCTGCAATAAAAATATTTTTGGGGTATGGGGGGGGTCTGGGACCCGGAGTAATCTGCGGCCGCGAGCTGTTATGTGCCATCATGACACGCATGGTGTTCTTTTTTTATATATTATAATGAAGCGCGAGCACAAGTCTTCCTGCCTGTCAGCTCTGCTCATGGATGTATAATAAGGCTCTGCTGCTCCGGGATGAGGGTCTAGCTTCAGCAGCTACATTACCTACGGTGCGTTCGTTAATATTAACTGTGCGGGCACAGACTGGACCGCTGGTTAGAACGGGGTGTTCAGAGCAGAGCTCCCTGTCGGAGCGGCAGAGCGTGATGTGCACTGAAAAGTGTTTCTGTCCCAATATTATTTAATGAATCGTTGAGCTAGCTAACTAGCATACATGCATTCAGATCTTGTACTTGAGTAAAAGTAGAAGCACTCAGGTCTTGTACTTGAGTACAAGTAGAAGTACCAGAGTGTAGGAATACTCTGTTACAGTAAAAGTCCTGCATTCAAAATGTTCCTCAAGTAAAATTAGAAAAGTATCATCAAAATATAGTTAAAGTAGCGACAGCAAAAGTAGTCATTGTGCAGATTGGTCCATTTCAGAATAATATATATGATATGTTTTATAATGATTGATCATGAAAGTGTTCTCAAAGCTGGTAAAGGTGCAGCTAGTTTGAATGACTTTGTATACTGCAGGGTAGCTTGTGAATTTACTCCAGGTGGAACTAAAGTCTGATTTAACACTTGATTATATTTCACATCATTCATCCACATCTGTGAAGTAACTAAAGGTATTAAATACATGTAGTGGAGGAAAAGTACACCATGTACCTCTGAACTGTAGAGGAGAAGAAGAACAAAGTAGCAAAACATTGAAATACTTAAATAAAGTACAAGTATCTAAAAATTGTACCCAAGTATAGTACTTGAGTTTATGAACTTAGTTACTTTACACCACTGGCTATAAAGATAGAAAGACAGCCTTGCACAGAGGCATGAAAATACATTTTCAAAATGCTCAACAGTCCTGCCAAAATTATAAACTGACTGCTACACAATTAAAATAAATGCTTAAATATATTTCTATTAGATGTGACTCTTTGGCGTTTCTGTTATTATTAACTGCTGCTTTAGTTGTTCTGACTGCTAAAATCCTCTGTTATTCCTCATTTTAAAGCCGATATTCCGTGGGGTCGGGGGGCTCGGATCCTTGTCACCTTTTTCATACCTGATGAGTTTGCATCCCTGCTTATCTAATATGAGAAAGAATGAAAAGCCAATTAGATAAATTAGGCTTTTCAGGTCAGACATTTGCAAGATAAAACCATATGGAAATAACAGTAATAATCTCCTTTTTTCACAGTGGAACTGCCGTCATGCAGGATGGCAACACAATGCGCAACAACTACGGTTGTGACCTGGACTCCCTGACCACAGGCTCACGGATTGGCATGATGCGCTCAGCCAGTGGTGACCTCCATTACTACATCAACGGTGTGGATCAGGGTGTCGCCTGCACCGGTTTGCCACCAGGTAAACATCAGCCAGAGATACAGCCGTCATGAGTTTAGAGTATAGGTTTTATTATGAGCCAATACTTCATCCATTTCTCTTCTCTCCGTCTCTCTCTCAGAGGTGTATGCTGTGATCGACCTGTATGGTCAGTGTGTTCAGGTTTCCATCACCAGCTCCTCAGGCCCGCTGGACAACAGCCTCTGCACCAGCAACATCACAGAGAAGAGCTTCCCCATCCACTCTCCAGGTACACCTCAGGGACCCTACATAGGTCCCCTTAGTTTGGAAAAAATATATAGGCTGATCTTTTGTCCACCAGAATCTTTTGTTTAATCAACACACTATTTAGTTGAACGATTTAAAGTCTTCATGTATGGAATTTTTTAAGATCATTTTGGTATTAATGTGTTTTTTATGTATTGGTTAGTTAGGATAGCAAATAAAAAAATGAAACGCACAAATTGTCTTCTGAGCTTCATCTCCATGTTTCTGTTTCTTTTCTGTCTTTCTGTGTGGTTTTAGTAGCAGGTGTTGCCCATCGACTCCACAATAAACATGGTAAGAATGTGGTGTTGCTCGGCGACGGCTGCCAAGGCGTCAGAGTCGGAGGTTACGCTCACGGCATCGTGTTCAGTGCCAAGGAGCTCAAAGCAGACGAGCTGTTTGAGGTAAACAAACAATTGCTTGATTATTCAGTTTCTAATAAATATCTTGCCTTTTTTTGTTAAACATATTGTATCTGCATCAGTAGAAATACACATTTCTTCAATGACATGGTTTATGTTTTCCTGTCCTAACTGCTACTTGTTTTCCTCTCTCCCTGTCTCTGCAGGTGAGGATTGATGAGGTGGATGAGCAGTGGTGCGGTTCGCTGCATATCGGTCTGACCACTCTGGCACCTCCGGAGCTGCCGTCCTGCCCGCTGTCAGGTCTCTCCCCCTCCCTCCCGCAGCTCCGCACCAAGGTCACCTGGCTGCTCTGCGGCTCTGAGGTCCGTCGCAACGGCGTGCTGCAGCGGCAGAACTACGGCTGCTCACTGGACCGGCTGACGGTGAGCTGCAGCTCCCTGCTCTGTCAGTGCAGTGAGATAGAGGTCACATCAAAGACGTTTAAACCCTCCAGGAGCTTTTCTTCTTTTAAAGATCCATAATAGGAGCCCTTGCTGCTGCTTAAGAATAAAGACGTTTTTAGAGCTGTGAGATTATCAGTCTGAAAGAGAGGGGACTTACAGGAATCATTACAACATCTTAAATCTCTTCTTTTCTTTAACCACCTCACCATCTTATTCTCTCATCCTTTTTATTTCTATTTAGTTTTCATATACAAATATTGCCAAAGCACTTAAAAGCATTATAGTGTTCTTTTTAATACGGCTATACAAATAAGAAGCACTAGCATTCACACTGCCACCCGAGAGATGTTTATTTGCAACCCAAAAATCATTATTCCAAGTTGTTTTTGATATAAATGCTATTAAAAATGTAAATTAAAGAGGGAAATGTTTTTATTATAAATCATTATTTTTAACGATCATGCTTCCCCTCCTATAATCAAACAAAAAGACAAAAGACACAGGAAGAACACTTACAAATAAATGTAGATATTCAAATGGTTATTTTTCTAACAACAATTCTTCACGTTGTTTGATTGTCTCTCAGGTGGGGAACCGCGTGGGTGTGAAGAGGTGTAGTGACGACACCATGCACATCTTCATAGATGGAGAAGACATGGGACCTGCAGCCACTGCAGTAGCCAAGGTACACACACACACACACACACACACACCCCTACACCTACAATACACAGCTTCTCAGCCCCACGCAGCCACTGAGCCCTTCTCTCTGTCCCGCTGCAGAATGTATACGGCGTGTTAGACCTGTATGGGCGGATAACGGCGGTGTCCATTGTGAGCTCTTCGTTGATGGAGGACATAGAGAGCGTGAAGGCGCCATCGCTCTCCTCGGAGAGCTGCAGCGAGGCAGAGGAGGAGAGCACCCCCGTCAGAGAGGTAGGAGCACCTGTCTGTGAACAAAAACCATTAGTCACTGCATCATTGGACTTTCCCAGAGACACTCACTCTTTATGCTACCTCCAGGTTGAGACCGAGCCGTGTGCACTGGTGCCCACCGCCGTGGCCTTCCTGGAAAACCACGGCAAAAACATCCAGCTGTCCAACCAGAACCTGACAGCAGCCAGAGTGTCCAGCTACAACCAGGGCCTGCTGGTGGCCGCCCAGCCGCTGGCCCGCCAGCAGCTGTTCCAGGTAACATCACTGTTATTGATACACATGTTGATGAGTTTTAAACAAAGACCAGGGAATAAATTCACCAGCAACAATACAAAGAATTATGACATTCAAAGTCCTCTCTCTCGTCACCAGTTTCAAATCGACCGTCTGAACCCGTCGTGGACATCGTCGCTCTCGTTAGGGGTCATAGGTCACTCCCCCGACCGGCTCAACTTCCCCTCCACAGCCTGCTGTCTGAAGCGCTCCGCCTGGCTGCTGCAGAGGGACTCCGTCTTCCACAACTCCCTAAAGGTACACACCCACACTGACATACATATGTCTGTCATGTCTCATTCATTTTAAAAACAGCTGTTACTAAACATAATAAATCATAGTTTTCGTAAATTAAATGAACGCTACTTTTCTCTCCCCTCAGATATGTGAGAACTATGGTCCTAATCTGGACACCTGTCCTGAGGGGACGGTGTTGGGTCTGCTGGTGGACACCAACAGTTGTCTCCACCTCTACGTCAACGGCATGGACCAGGGTGTGGCGGCGCAGGACATTCCTTCGCCCTGCTACACCTTCATCGACCTGTATGGCCAGTGTGAACAGGTAACACTACAGATGCAAACAAAAGATGAAAAGACATTCTAATATTTAAGAACCTCAAACCAAAAAACGGTTGAGCTTTTTGCTCGATGCCTGAAACAATTTATTAATCAACTTGATTAAAACTTGTCAATTACATTTGAATATCTCCCGATGGATTTATCGATTCGGCAATACTTAATTAAGAACTCAATTCTATTCAATTAATGTTGTCATCATGATAGGTTACCATAGTAACAAACAACGTGCCAGCTGTGGGTGGAGAGAGTGGAGAAACCCGTTGTCAAGGCGACATGGAGAAGGCGGACATGGTTGACGGTAAGAAGCCACTTGCTTGTTTATCTTTTTTTAGGTTCTGTCCAGTCTTTTAAATATTGATATTACATTTTTTTTATTACATTTTTATTTTTTTCACTTACATTTTTATTGACATTTTTATAAACATACAAAACCACATATAGTTCAGTATACAATTGAATTAAAGACCCATTGAAAAAAGAACAAATAAAAACAAGCAAACAGTGACATGGAAGCTTTCTATCCTATTTTAATGCAACATCATGGTCTGCTTCCAACTCTCAATTTGTGTCGTTCATTTTTCTTTTATATTCAACCTTTAATTACATTTTTTACATATCAGAAAGACTAGAATTTAAATGTCTAATTGAGTTGTGTACTTACCTTATCCCACATTTTTGAACCTAGAGAAATGTAGATGATTTAAGCCGCTTAATTTCAGTTGCCTGTCAGATCCGCGTGCGTCGGTGTTGTGTTCGTTTGACATAATAAATTGTCTTCTATCAAGTTTTAAGCAACATTTTAAAGTACAATTTGTAGATCTTGTTCGTTTTGAAACTATGAATTTGACCCGAATAAAGTATTTTAAGTCATTGGAAATCTGGATCTTAAATTATCGGACCTTTGCGGATTATCCGGCTCCTGGTAGAAACCTCTTTAACTGAAGGTATTCCCACTGGACTGCTATGACAGCAATAAATGTGTGGACAACAACTCCCATGATACTTCACACCAAGCTGTAGTTTCTGTTATTGTTTTAAATGAGAGACCCCTAGTGGCAGAAATGTAACATTGTGTGTTTGGTCTGTTTTGTTTTTACTTGTAGGAATCAAAGAGAGTGTGTGCTGGACGCCCCCTCCAGAGGTCAACCCCAACAAGACCTGCGAGTACCAGGCGCTGTGCGCACGCTTCAAGGACCTGCTCACTTTACCAGGTCAGTTTCACCCCAAAGCCTTTCAGTCATCATCTCTGTTTCAGATATAAACTCATGTAACAAATACAACGTTTATCTCCTTAACAAAGATGGCTATTTTAATGAAGACGCAAAGTACAACCTGTGCTACTGTGAGTCCTGCCACAAGCTCCGGGGCGATGAGGCTTATTACAAGAGAGGAGAGCCCCCCCGGGACTACGCCCTGCCCTTTGGGTGGTGCCGCTTCGCCCTCAGGTGAGAGTACCGGGTCTCAGTCACATACATGACAGGGGGAAAGTTTATTAAATGACCCTTTTGAAGTCACCATTATTGGATGTAATGACCAGGGAATTATCACAAATGCAGGGAGAGAAAAACACTGGGAGTTTTGTGTCTATATATATAAAGCTGAAGGGACTCGAGGCTCTGTGATTACATACAAAAATAATTCTCTGTCAAATCTGTCTGTATTTAATGTGAGTCTATATAAGTGCATGTACCCCCTTTGTGCAGGATCAAGACCCACTGTGAGGTTTCTAATGCACTGAAGAAGTGGCACATCGCGTACCACGGCACCAGTGTAGGAGCCCTGCGGCGCACACTGGACCACAGCCAGCTGCTGCCTGGTAGGACTATACTGGTTACCTTTTTACAAAACACTCTGTGACTTAGTTTTTCTGACTAAAGTGGGTACATTTTCACAGTTAACTAAGAGGAATGCTTCAAAGAGGACATATTATGCACATTTTTAGGTTAGGTATGTAGTGTCTCTACTGTGACATGTTTCCATGCTTTAATGTTCAAAAAGGTCTTTATTTTTCTCTTACTGCCTGTTCTGCAGAACCTCTTTTCACCCTCTGTCTGAAACCAGAGCCCAGTCTGCTCTGATTGGTTAGCTGGCTGGCTCCGTTGTGATTGGTCAACAGCTTAGAGATGTCCCGCCCCTTAGCCTATCACGTACAATGTGCTGGAGCACTAGCCAATAGAATTGCGAGTGTTATATCATGACGTCACTATGTTACGGAACTAAACAAAAGAGTCCAATTAAGGTGTTTAAGGCAGGTGGGGGAGTGTGTGGGAGAGAAACTCCCCAAATCAAACTTTTAGATTTGAGCCTTTGCAGACCATTAACATGCACAAACACCTATTTAACACACTACAGGAAATATAAAAATAAAGAAAGCATGATAGGGTCCCTTTAAATGGACCGCAGATTATTTGAATATATTGATGCATCTAATATCTCATATAAGGAACAGATAAAAACTGTAACGTCTGTGAACTCTTGTCATTGCAGGCACGTCGTCAATCTTCTCGGTTGCCCCGGTGAAGGCGGAGGGGCCTAATGGCTACACTGAGCCGGAGGAGAACTGCGCCCCCGGCAGGGAGGTCCCCAGGGTGCGGCTCTCCCCCACCATGCGCTACTCCGGCATGGAGATGTTTGCCCCCAAAGTGCAGTAAGTCAAGGTTTACAGTGGAGAGCTAACCAGGAACAAGCTGGTGAAACACTCACTGATACTTCTCTTTGTCCTCATGCAGATTTCGGGACCCCCGCTCTGACCGTGCCCACCAGGCTCAGGTGGGCTTCCAGGTGTGTGTGCGTCCGGGCTCCTACAAGATGGGGCCGCAGACACTGGGTAACAGCGAGGCCCTGGACCCCCGCTTCAGCAACTCAGAGATCGAGTGGATCACCAAGGAGCAGGGCGGCACGCTCCTCTACGGACTGCTCATCCGGGTGGAGTGAACAAAGGAGAGACAAGGGAGGCATACGGGTGGGAGGGGGGGGGGCCACACGGCGCTCCCCACTCTTTTAATAAACTGACAACCAAATCCAAGCCCTGCCTTGAGCGAGAGACTCCTCTGGAATCCAGCTGTTCCACCTGTGGATTGTTGACAATTCAGCATAAGATATTTTTTTTGGTTGTTTGCTCTTGGACTCTTTTAATGGCCGGGGGCTACGGCGGTCTCAAAGAAGAACAGACACTGCCTGCACTTTATGTTTCGGACACACTCGTGGGCGATTTTTAAACGTTTCATCGACTCGACACAACACGTTTGTTCATTCGCTACCGTTTTTTTTTTCAACACTTTTTTTGTTCTAATTCTTCCCGACATATTTTCTTCCACACAAACATCTTTTTTCAAATTTGGCACTTACTTTAACACCTCTGCTCTGGTCAGTGTTTTTTATTTAGTTTGGGAGGAGCTGTCCCCTGCCAAGCTGCACGTTCATGGACTGTCACCTAAAAAGACTGAAACGTGGTAAAAAAAACAAACAAGTGTTTTCACCGAAATATAAAAAAACAGAAAGACACTTGAATCTGAGAATGATCCCAAGAGTGTCTTGTGATTGTGACTTCATTTAGTGGGGGGGGGGGGCGGGAGATTTTAAAACTAGAGGAAGAAAAAAAAATGTTTACAAGTGTATGTTGGTCTTTTCTTCGTGTCTCTACATAAGCAGTTTGACTTCTTTATCTGTCCTGGTTCTGTTTCGTGGCCTAGCATCACGCCTGACTCATCCGGTCACAGGCTTTAAACTGTGGTGAAAAACTGGAAGGATTGACGGAAAAAATGAATTTGGGAAGTTGTGTGTTGAGATAATGAATGGCAATGATGTTCCAGCCTTGCAGCTTGTGTGTTACAACTGGGACGATCCATCATGAGATATTTAAATATGAATATTTAATTCTAGGCTGTTTTATACAGAAAAAGGGGAAAAAGTTCAACATTATTGGGAAAAGCTCTCTTGCAGAGATATCAATCTACTCAAACTCTTAGCAAGTTAGAAAATGTCCCGTAATGTGGTACTTTTTTTATTAAAAAGGTAGATAAATGGACTAAAGCCAAAAGGCTTAAGATGTTTTCCACATCACTCCCACTGCCTCGCTTCCCCCTCGTGGTTTACTCCTCCCTGATCGATCCATTAGTCATGTCTGACTCTGTTTACCTGGCAGGACCTCCAGAAGTGTTTACATGTGAATGTCATTCATTAGGGCTCTGCGGTTCTTTTTTGTTGTCGACTAACATCATTGATTTGTCAAATGTTTATACAAGGGTTTATTTAATCCATCACATCCATCTAACGATTGATTGTATGTGAACAGCTTTTCAAAGCACTCTTTTATTCACAGTCCTGTTGCCAATTTGATAAACAAGCTTACTGAACACGCCCCCCGACATTTTTCAGTTTTCCATGAGTCAAACTCAAAAAATCTAAATTGAAGAAGCTCAGTCGTCTTCTAAGAGCAGCTGTGATCTGACTGATGGAGTTCAACGGGGGTTTGGCCGAAGGAAAAAACTTCCAATCAAAAGAAAAATGTGAAAGATATTATTATATGGGTTATTTACAGCCCAGTGCTGCTTTGTACAATTTAATTTGTATTGTTTTCTTTATTTGTTTTTCTGTATGTTGCGTTGTACAGGCTGTTACATAACAAATCATATCTTCCTGATTTATAAAAAATGAAATAAACTGACAGACGGTATGCACAGAAGTATGGGTAAAGGTGTTTCTTGTTTGTAAAACAAAAAAAGATGAAGAAAAGACAACCTACTAGTGCTTTTATTTATTTAATTAGATTTAGAGTAGGAAACAAAAAGTATGGTTACTGACAGTTATAGCAGTGTTGCATACTTACTCAATCACACCTTTTCCAAAATGCTGTTGACTAATTTCTCATTAAGGCCGGTAGTGGGTTCTTTCAACGCTTTATACAGAAATAGCGGCTGCTTCGTCTTGCATTTAAAGAACAGACACAGTTATTGAAAATGATCAACTAAAAAGGATGCTAAAATTGTACAAGTAGAAGTACAATAACGTACCTCTGACCATCCTGTGTGTGATCCCGTTTGGTTGCATAGTCGGTTTTGTTTTTATCCATCTGTCGCCAGCTTTAAAGACTCATTTCTGCACAGGCTTTGACTTTAATTGGACCCTGAGTTTCCCTTTTTTTGTTCTAATGTCTAACTTAGAGCTGCCAATCTGATCCTGACCACTTCCTCCAAATAGTTCCACATTTTGAATCAGTTTCTTTCTTCAAGATCATTCATGTTGTTTAAATCGGACACAAACAGAAATGTATTTTGGTTTTAGAGGGTGTTAACTATAGCTGGAACTACTTCTTGACAAACAACGCTTTATCCATCCGCCCAGTACTTCTATGGGAAGTAGATAAATAGTTAAAGCACATTAACGTAACCTTTTTGCATTTCTGTTTGTAATTTTGTTAACTTGTTTTTATTTGCTTCACTTTCCCCCCAGATTCAAGTCTTTATGCTATGCTAAGCTAATCTACTACTGGCTCCATCCATTTGTCGTGCAGACTAATTCCCGCCAAGAAAGTGTGGTGCAGGTGAGTGTAGTTCAAAAACTCTTAAACTATTCCTTTCAGATTCCAGGCACAATAAGCTTTGATGCAAATTTAGCCTAATTTGCTTAAGATCTCAGAACCGGAAAAAGGAACAAAAGGTTTTTGCTACAAAATAGTATAGTATGAGAGAAACTGAAGTGAAGCTGTTGATACTAAGTTTGTTCTGTGGGAGATTTAAGCAGCGTCGTGTGCGTGTTGAAAGTTCTAAAGTGTTAATGGCGAGGGTAAAAGCTCCGAGAAGAGAGACAAACGGACAAAGACGATGTAAAAGTTTGGTTCAGCTTCATTCAAATATACATCTTAACTTCCACGCGCGCACACATACATACAAACTTCCAAATATGCCAGAAACCAACGGCAACAAAAGTCCCAGACAGTTTAAAAAAATAGCGAAAAGTTCTTTGTACACTTCCACATAACTGTTAACATGTTTCCCGAACCCTGACGTACGACATTCACTCCCGAACATAACGTTGTAAGCATCAAGCTACAGTGAGGGCTTTTTATAAAAACGAATGTTCACAGTAGTTCAAATAAAATGGCTCATTTTTGAATAAATAAAACAGTGACAAAATGACCTTCAGTACAAACGGTCGGCGAAGGATTTCCACATCTTTTGATTCATCAACACACGAGAAAAAGCTCCAGTTATGTGACTACAGCAGCTGTTTTTGCTCCCAACACACACACACACACACACACACACACACACACACACACACACACACACACACACACACACACACACACACACACACACAGCTCATTGCCTCACCTGCTGCACCACACCAGTGACAGATAAGCCACATATAAACCTCCTATAAACCGTCATCATTTACAAACGTTTCCTGCACATTAAAACAGACCCCCATCTTTGTTTTAGCTTAAATATCCTTGGATACACAATCACCACCCCCCTGAAAGCCCCATTTCCTCTGATCCCACTCTGATTCAGCAAGTTTTGAAGAGTTTAAACATTTTTTGCTTTGACATATTTCAGCTAGAACGTCAGGGGTGGTGCAACCGAGAGGCAGAGCAGGACAGCAAAGCTATGGAAAGAGAGCACTCAATGTTCTTGTTTCCCCTCTCAGGGGGAAGAGACAGAATGGAAAAGAAAGAAGGGATAGTTCTCCCAGAATTCATTGTGGCTGGTCGTGGGAGGAAGGTACAAGGGCTTTACAGAGAAAGAGAGACAAAAGGAGGTCACTATAAAAGAGGGGGAGGGAAGGAAGGCGAGCAGCAATTTGATTCGAGATTCGTCTCTCATCTACTTTACACGTTTTTTTTTTTTGTTTCCCTGCAGGATGAGCGGCTTCAGAATTTCTTGGGGCCCCAGGCGGATGTTTGCTTCGGGGCCACACCTGTCCCAAACGTGGGGAAATCCTCTGCACTGCTCATGTCAGGAGCCTGGAACAAACATACAACAATGTTTGCTCTTTACCCAGGATGCAATGCAACGCACTCAAGGAACAAAACAGAAGTATTTCTCTAAAAGTAGAAGCTGCTTTTCAACCATTTAAAACGCCTTTTCTAACGCTTCTACATATCATCCCTCCCTACATTCATTATTGTAGAGAAGAGAAAAATCAGTGTGCCCAACCTTGTTCCCTGATGCGTTCCAAGGGGCGTCCCGCACAACAAAGCCCTTAGCCGGACCCCCACTGCCGTCATCACCCCCTCCTGCTCCACCGGGCCCTCCATAGCGAGATGGAGGCTTCATGTAAGCTGCCAAGGTCTCCGTCTCTGTCACGTTGAGCATCTGAGAGGTGAGAAGAAGGCCGGAGGGAGAGGAGAATCGCTCATTAAAACGGTCTCGGTACCCAATTGACTTCTTCAGCACTTTACATGTTTAGTGCCGCTAACAGTCTTTGCACACTCACATATTCCTCCTCCAGGTTGAGCAGGTGGTCCACAGCGTTGTCCACAGTCTCAGGGAGGCCGGTCACCGTCACTTTGTCGGGCTCATCGGAGCCTGGCTGAGGGAACCTGATATCCACCTGAACGGTAGGAACGAGACGTTATAATATATAAGAAAACAAGAGAAAACCAAATAAGATTTAAAACAGAACCAACCTTGAACTCCTCCATCAGCTTGCGGATAGCTTTGCCCCGGGCTCCGATGATGCGAGCGTGGGTCCTCGGGTCCAGGCGGACATCTTGGCTCACCATCTCCTGCAGCTCGGCCACCAGCTGCTGGATGGCTTGGCTCGCCTCCTCCACGTTACGCTCGTACCCCGAGATCACAATCACATCCTGAAGATGGACAAAACAGGATGTAGAAAAAGGGAACAGCAGATTAATGGAAATGTATTAAAATCTCAAAGATAAAACACATACTTAATACTTATTTTAAGTATTAAGTATACCTGCTGCTCGTCTCCTTTGTCGGGGAACTGGATGCTGACGTCGTGGTCTTTCCTGATCTGAGAAATCACCGCTCCTTTGCGACCAATGATCTTTGGATGAAACTTTGGATCTACGGACATGGTCACCTTGAAACTGCGCAGGGCCTGAGAAAGGACATGGAGCAGCGTAAAAACCTCAAACGCTCAAATATCTTTACAATATAATAATTGTGATTACTCTGTTGGACCCTTACCCTGTCCTCCTGCTCCGCCTGCAGGTCTTTAACCCGCTCCATCAGACCCTGTTTGGCCCGCTCCACGTTGGCTACCAGCCCCGTCACCTTGATCACATCCAGCTGCTTCTCCGGCTGCGGCACCCAGATGTTCACCTGCGACATGCAAAATCCAGCTTCTTTACCAATTAGATGTATCACATTATATAAGCATGTTTAAAGCAGCTTTAAAAGGCAAAGGCTTCTACATGGAGTAATAACGCCTCATGGCCAGTAGATGGCACCAGAGAGTCAGATCTCACCTCGTATTCCTCCATCATCTTCCTGATCCCGCTGCCCTTCTGGCCAATGATGTAGCGATGCAGCTCGTAAGACACTTCCACGTCCTCCGTTATGGGCACCAGCGCCTGAATGAGGAAACAGTGACAGGATTAGGATTAAGGTAATGGATGATAAGAGAGGATAGGGAGCATTATATCCGTAAATAAATAATAGTATAATGGCGCCTACCAGCAGGGCGGCTTTAGCCATTTCACACTTCTCCTCATGCCCAGCGATGGTGATGATGTCACACTTACGGGGGACGAACTCCGCCTCTGGACTGACCTCACCGTTTTCCTGTGGTGGAGCATCCTGACCTGAAATGTCACAAGACGTCATGAATTTAAAGCCAGTTTGGCAGCAGTTTCATGTCAGAATAATACATTTTCCTAGCAGCCAAAATGTAAAAATATCACAAATGAACACAGTGACCACCCACTGTCAGAAGATCCCCATATATCCTAAAACCTCACCAGTACTCTTATTACTCTGCCCTCTTTGCCGTGGCAACACATTAACAACATCATTAGTCTCACAGCTCTTGTTCTCTCGTGTGTTCCTGACCTGCAGCGCTGTCGTCCCTCTCCGGGAACTTAATTTGGACTTCATTCTCCCTGGTGATGAGCTGGATGCGGCAGCCTTTGGGCCCCATGATGGCTCGGTGGAAGCGCTGGGGGATCGCCACCTCCACACACACCTGGGACTCCTGTAGAGAGATGGGGGTGGGGGAGAGAGGACACAGCTGGGTGACAACGGCAAACAGACAGGAGTTCAGATCACATCCATCACTCCTGGATTTAAAATCAAAGTGCAAATATGCAGAGAAATATACGTTTTTTTTATGACTTATGGTTTCTTAATGTCTCATTGTCTCTTACCAGGTCCTCGATGATCTCCTGGATGCGTTTCTTTGCGGCGTCCACGCAGTCCTTGGCCCCCTTCAGAGTGACCCTCTGACTGTTGGCCCCCGTGCGAGGGAAGCTGACGGCCACGCCGCCGTACTCCTCCGCCAGCTCCCGCAGCACCTGGCCTCTCCGGCACACGAAGTGACGGTGGTGGCGAGCGTCTACGACCATGCTGTCCTCCACCACGTCGTCCTGGAGAGGGAGAACAAGGGGATATTTAAAAAAGAATAATGTAATATACACTTTGTTCACATGCCAGCTGGATTATTCTAAATCTATCAACCTTTGCAATATAACATTTTCACTGAACGTTTGTTGTTGAAATATACAGTAAAAATGGCCCTGGCACTTTTGAATGACTGTGCTAGTAAAATCCAAATTAAACACAAGAAAGACAATCTGACAAAAAGAGCAAAAGAAAATTAGGCAGGCATACTTGTTTAAGATTGAAAAAGTAAACAAATTAAGGAATCATTCTTAAATATAATTAAAAAAAATCAAAGGAGATAAAAACAAGTAATTTAAATGTAATTACCAGGTTTTTGACCAGGCTTTCCAGCTCCTTCTGAGCCAGACGCACGGCCTCCTCCTTCCCTACAATGGTGATCAGTTCCTGCTCCGTGTCGTCCGGTGACGGGAAGATGATGCGGGCCCCCGTCTTGTCCCTAACTCTGCGAATATTAGCGCCGCCACGGCCAATCAGGAACTTATGATACTCTGGTTTGGCCTGGAGCTCCGCTGTGAAGTTGTTGACTTGCTGAAAAGGGAAGGAAAGAAGGACAGAAGACAAGAAAAGCGAGTAAGTATTTTCCTCCTCTCTCTATATTACTCCATAACTGTTCTGCCCCGCCCACCTTCTCCTCAGCCAGCTGCAGCAGCTGTTTCTTGGCCTTCTCCACCTCCTCGACGGGCCCTCTGATGGTGACCTTATCCGAGCCGGACCCCTCGGAGGGGAAGTGGATGTGGACGCCGCCGCAGTCCTCCATGATGGAGCGCACCAGGCAGCCTTTAGAGCCAATCAGAGAGTTGTGCAGCTTGGAAGGGATGGTGACCTCCGCCTCCTTCATGTTGGCCTGAAGGGATGAGGAGAGAGTTTAGAGCCAGGGATACATTAAGGTACGCCTACTTTTGAAACTTTAAGACTTGCCAAGTTTATGGTGTTAATTTAATCAGACTTATTTGACTGAGCATAAAGGTGTGTGCTTGACCTTAGAAAAAGGTAGTTTTCAAGATCAATTTACTAGCTTTCTCCAGCTTTATTTATTATAATTGTTGAGCATTGTCCGTCTTAAATAGCAAGCAAGAGTTGAAAGGGACAGGAATGAGCGAGAGGACATTCGAACCAGCATTGTTGCATTTAACAACTGCCACCGCTTTCCATGTTTGAAACCACATCTCTTATCCAAAGAGGATATGGCTCAAAGTTCATAAACAAACTAGGAGGTGGATCTTAAATTATAATTTTCTTTTTATCTGTTTCTTCCAATATATCCTGGAAGTTGCAAAAAATATGAAAAGTTCTTACCAGTTCTCTCTGGATGGAGAGGATTCGCTCTCTGGCCGCCTCACAGTTGCTCTTCCTGCCTGTGATGACGATCATCTCCGAGTTACTGTTCTCTGTCGGCAGGTCGATCTTAGTGGTGGTCTCTTCCCGGATCTGCCATAAACAATATGTGTATTTTGAAGCTTTGAATATTACAAAACATTTAACACTGGCTGAATATTACGGAGGAATTTGTTTCAATGTCGGTTTATTTAATGATTTGGCTTTGACAATGAATGCCTAATAAGTGACCATTTTTCGAAATTAAACACACCTTTTTAATATTGGCCCCGCCTTTTCCAATTATGTTTTTGTGGAACTGCTTGAAGATGGGAACTGAGAGCGAGAAGCTATTCTCAATCTGGAGAAGACAGAAAGCTGCTGTGAATTCAAATGTTGAAAGATAAGGAGAAATAGAGAGAAGGATTATGGGGGGGGGGTCGTACCAGGTCGGCGATGATTTTCTGCAGGAACTTTGCACATTTCTCCACCTCGTTCTTCGGCCCTCTCAGCTGGACGATGTCACTCTTCTGCGCCGGGTCGGGGAAATTGATAATGACCTGGAAGCAGAGGATATTATACTCGTCAAATTACATTTAGATCTGGATCAAAACTAATTATGTCTCTGTGATGAATGGGAGAGATAAAGTGCAGGAAGGGTCGGAGGAGACGCTCACCTCGGGGAACTTGTCTCGAACTTCTTTGATCTTCTCTCCCTTCTGGCCGATGATTGTCCGATGGAACTTCTGCTCCACGATCAGGTCTTTGGTGCGCTCGTTTTCCTGGGAATTGGACATTTATTTATTTATTTATTCCAACCCACAAAATAAATGAATGAACCACCCTAAACTTTGACCCCATCCTCACCATTCTCTGCACCATCTCAATGAGCTCTCTGCGGGCCATCTGGACTCCTTTCGGGTCGCCCTCGATCCGGACCAGGCCGCTGCGTTCAGAGTCCTGGGGGACCCGTACCGACACCTTGTACTGCTCCTTGATCCGATTGACTGTCGTTAGGGAACAGATGATGTGTTTTAAACAAGAGGGTTGCAAGTGTTTAACCCTAATTATTTTAGAGTTTCAATTGAGGAGCAAAACACTCACCCCCTGCAAGCCTGGAAAAGGGTTGTAGGTTTTTCTGGTATATAGTATATTGGCTGCTTTACACTTCTCAAATTGTTCTGTTCTGCAGTCAATTGTAACAGACATGAATTGAGGACAACCACATCCAATATGATGCTCAACGACAGCTGATATTACCGTCTTGAGACTTCATTAAAAGCTCTTTGAGGGGTCGTAAAGATTGGAAAAGCGCTATATAAATGCAGTATATTATTGACCATTTCATTACAACGAACTTAAATTGTCTTGGAGTTTCAGTGATTGCCAGAATGCATTTCGATAACCATGTGAATAACCGCGTTAAAACCGCCGACTACATAGTGAGACTGTGAAATAATATGATGATTACATTTAACTGGTTGTTTCCACTACTGTTTACAGTACCTAGCGTCATTATAAAACAATGAAATAATCACACAATCATTTTCAACTCAATAGACAGACTGTATACACTACTAAGTACAGATGGCCTTCAGTGGCTTTTACTTGACATTTAACTGCAAATTGATGAACGCAGCAAGCCCATCATTTATATACGGCAACCAGAGATGAGATTGTGCCTTTTGACTAATGACAGAATTACCTGAAATTAAATTGGTGTCTCTGTAAATATACAAAAATACAGTGTTTAGTGTATATACATTTGACTCGGCAACTGCCCCAACATATCTTATGTGTCAGACTGCATGTCAAAGTCCAGGTAGAAACAGCAAGATACTAAATGAATATACGCTGCTGACTACGACAGTATAAACCAGTATAAACCAGTATAAACCAGTATAAACCAAAAGCTGAATTGACTGAGTCAGTGGATTAAAAAGAACAGCAAATAAAAAGCTGGTCGCTGTGCCATTTGAACTCTAAAGCCCAGGAGTGTTGATGTCCCAGATTGTTTTCCTGTTGAGATCAGCAGAACAAAGTGCACTCACTGTTGGCTCCGTTCTTCCCGATGAGGTGTCTGTGGAAGCGCTGCTCTATGATGACCTCGGTGTAGTCCATCCTCACCAGCTGATCACGGGGGGGGGGGGGGGCAGAGGGACAGTAGTCACTGAACGTGTCCCAGAGCTACAGAACTGAACCCCTTCAACCCTGGGTGTATTCTCTATAGTCTATCCTCTGGCTTTATCAGCTTTCAGAGGGTCTTTATTCTAAGAGTTAATACAAATGAACTGCCGAAAGCAATCATGTCATTTCAAGTCGAAAAGTGACAACAACCGTAAAAAGAATATGAGCCTTTTACAAGATATATTTGAGAACTACCCTATTATTACCTTATTATAATAAATATCCCAGGTAGGGCTGCAACTAACAGCTAGTCTCATTTGTGATTGAACTTATAAAATGTGAAAAACGACCATCACAATGTCTTGAAGGGCATTCTAATCTGACGAAGAGTCCTAAGAGATATTAAGTTTCAAATACAGACGTAAATCAATCTTCCTGTACGACGTAAAACTTATAACATCACTATTATGTCTTTCTTTTCACTACTGTTGTAGTCTTTTTCACATCATACCATAGGTATCAACCACATTTTTAAATAACTTTGTTGATTTTAGCTCTGTTACCAGGTCCTTGATGATCTCCTGTATCTGGGCCTGAGCCTGTTCCACCTCCTCTGTCGGACCCTCCAGACTGATGCTCTCCTCTCCGTCTGTGAACTCTATGTGAACCTGCACACACACACACACACAGGAAAAAAAGATAAACCAATTACCATAATGCTGAAGCCAACTTCCCTCAGCTACATGAAGTGCACTGTTCCATCTTGTCCGTCATATAGTCTTTGATCATCCCTCTCTTACCCGTGGCAGCTGCTGTGTGATGCGCCCGATGTTCTGTCCTTTCTTGCCGATGATGTAGCGATGCAGCCAGGCCGGGGCGGTCACCTCCACCACCATCACACTCTTCGCCTAAAGAGGGGCAAAAGGGCTTAAAGGTTCAAATCCAACTTACATTCATAACCTCAATGAAATCACTTTTAAAGCGTGTTACAGACTGATTCAGCTTCATTAACAACTGATCAAATGCCACTATGTAATTCAAGGCTTTTAGTAACCAATATGATCTCCCCCCCCCTCCCCCGCACCTTAGCGTACACCTGTGTGAGCGCCGGCCCCAGCTTGTCCGGCTCCCCCCTGAGGATGATGGTCTCTGATCCGGAGTCCAGAGGAGGCATCTCCACAGAGACCCCCGTGGTCTCCAGGATCTCCTGCAGGGTGTTGCCCTTTGGCCCAATGATGTACTTGTGCTGAGACTTCTTCACCTCCACGGAGATGGTGGTGGTCTTTCTCTTCTGCAGGGGGAGACGGGGGGAGAAGAGACGTGAGTGGCAAGGAGGAAGGACAGATGTGGCACAGTGAGGGATGGATGGGCTCACAGCAGGAGACAGGAAGAGGAATGACGGGCAGGAAGCAGGAAGGACGGACAGATGAATGTCAGTCAGTAGGCGGACAGGGAGAGGAGATAAGCTGGCTGGAGGTGAGCGGAGTGATTGAGAGCGAGAGGGCAACACAGAGAATATATTTGTTTCTGCCACTCATGCATATGCACTGAATGACATTAGCATTCTCATCCTGTTGTTCTCTGGCCAAATCCAATTTTCTCTCCCCATTATCTCCAGCCTGTCTATCGCCAACACACACACACTTCCACGTCTCATCCATCTTTTAGAGTTTGTGTGTGTGTGTGTGTGTGTGTGGTGGAAAATAAAAACACCAGCACTGTTGAAAATAATGATACAACTTCCTCATTCCAAAAACAAACAGTTTGTGGAAAGATAATATGTGCAACTACGTGTGTGCCATAAACTCTAAACTAAACCACAATCTGTTCGGTTATAGCAGGGAATAGAAGTTGTTATAAATAACTGACAAAGCGACCAAATGTCCGATGATCCAATACACTAGCCGGTAGAATTGTGAAGAAAAAAGGGAAAGTACTCCAGCGTTCACTCAACTGCCATGATTCCATTTCCTTGTTTTGCTTTTGTGTTTTTCTTGAGATGCTCATTGATCGGTTTTCTTAGATTCTTAATTTAGAAAGCTTTGACATTTTCGAAATAAAATCTACTTCATAAGCAGTAAATGAAAAAAAAAAAAATTATAATATTAACAGTCAAGTAAGAGTTTAAATTAAGCTGATTCATCAACTACTGTATAAACAATATTTATGGTTGGAATGTAAACGGACAAGTTGTCCTCTACAAGGATACTTAATTAGATTACAGATTTAAGACCACTTTCTACAAATATAACGGTTTCGTTTTTCAGCTGTTCTTCAAAACCAATTTTACATTACAAACCAATTGTAAATACAACCAGGAAGCGCACCTTGTCGTCGTAGATGGCTCGGATGCGGCTGAGCGCCATGGCGACGGCCTCCTTCTCCCCGGTGATGACGATCTCGTCCTTGGGCAGGCTGGGGGGGGGGATGCTGATGCGAGCGCCCGTCTCCTGGCTCAGCTCCTGCACCAGCCGGTTGTGGGCTCCGGCGATGAAGGGGTGGAAGGCCTTCTCCAGGGAGAGACGCTCCACCGCACGCTTGTCCTGGGGGGGGGGGGGGGGGGGGGGGGTAAATGAAACAATAGAATATGTAAATAGGGACTGCCAAGATCATAGAGGCAATAAAGTCAAGTTTCAAAGAAGCGGAAAATGTAGTGTCTGACCGGGGTCTCTAACCTATACGTCTGGTTTCAGGTCGACATTCTTTAAGCTCACCTGTTCAGCAGAGATCAGAAGTATTTCGTGGCGGGCCTTCTCGATGCCCTCCTTGGTGCCGGTGATGCGGATGTTGGTGCTGGGGTCGTCAGGGCGTGGAATAGCGATCTTGGTGGCGGTCTTCAGCTCCAGCTCCTGCAGCTTCTCGCCGTTCTTACCGATGACAAAACGGTGGTGCTCCTTAGGGATGGCGACCGTAGCTGAGGCCTGAGTGGGAGGGAGGAAGTGAGTAAGGTCTGCATTGTTACACATTGGAAAATGGCAGAAAATCATTGGATCAGTGTGCGTTATCTTGCAGGAACTGATCTAATTGGCATTAAATCAATCTTTAAAGTTCAGATATATCCTTACAAATATAGAATTGTTGAAGTTTCCACATTTATATGATATTAGAGAAGAGAAAATTTGTTTTGTTTCTCACATTTCTAGTTTACCAAGGACATTATTAATGGTAACAGTAGCATATGTGTGTTTTTTAGTTAGGTAAACAAAAACAGAAGCATTTGACCTTGCGAGAAAGCCAGATTGTTTTCCTGCACCATTGTATCAATAACTGCAGCTCAGCTAAACAGGTGGACTTCAGTGCAGGTATTGAAGTGGAAATCAGCATGTTTACTGCTGAAGCCCAGGAAGGCGGCCGCCGGGAGCTGACTCAACTTTTTGTCCTAAAGCGACCTGCCTGCACGGGCTATGCTATATCAATTTGTGTGAGTATGAAAAAAGAACAAATGGCAATAAAAGTAACAGATGGAAGCATTCAAATGTCTTTGATCCAACCCATAGGTTGAAGTGGAGCAGGTAATTGTTCTTGCTCAAAGAAACATCTGTTATTTAGTAATGAGTAATCAACAGATGCTAATTATTCGACACCAGCACATAACAGGCTTGCACCAACATAAATTGTAACACACTGTATCAATGCCAAGAAGATATGATAGGCATTTTTTTATTGTTATTTCAGTGATGTCATGACGCTCTACAACTGTGTTACAAAGGCTACAAATTGCATTTATAGAAAAACAACGTATATAGTTTATATTTTGCATTTTTTGAAAATCAGCTGCAATATTGGTAACATTACTTTAATTTGCAAGAATGGACTTGACCTTAAATTATTTGGACGAAGGTGTCTGCTGAACCTTTATTGAGGCAAAGCATTTTAAATAGATCTTATCAACATAAAAACACCCTGCGATGACTTCAGTATCCTAGCAGTATGAACATGTAACAAACCCCTGCGGTCAGTTTACCTGTGTCTGCAGGCGAGCTACGATCTCCTTGCGAGCCTTCATGACGGAGTCCAGTTTTCCGGTGACCATGATGGACAGGCCCTGGTCTTTAGCCAGAGACAGCTCAATGTGGGCCCCCGTGCGCTGCATGATGTCCAGGCACACTTTGGCCTCCTCGCCCTCCCCGAACTGGCTGTTGTCCTTGTAGCGACGCTCCTCCAGGGGAACATGGAACACCTACACACAGAGCGGGTAAGAGTGGGTGGGTGGGGTGAGTGGGTTCAAATTTCAGGCTGCTGCAGCTTATGTTAACGTGACTAGTGGCAAAATAAGAGTTCAAGTTTCATGTCTTTATTGTCATTTGCACATTAGCTACAGTGTAGATATGGCAATGAACAACGTAGGTCACAGGCTCCTCCAACAGTGCAACATATATAGAGGACATAGAACAAATAAAACAGATAAACTAGTGCAAGAAAATGTTTTGACATTTGCAAGTAAACACCAATAAAATAGAATATAAAAAGTGCAAGGAGAGTCTATATACACAGACTAGACTTGTATCTTTATATACATACTGTTTCCTGTTTATGTTCTTAGTTACTGGCTGCCTGACCTGGGTGATGACAGAGGCTTTGATGGGCCTGATCTTGCCCCCCCACGCTGAAGCTGGCTCCCCCGCCTTTTCCCCCGGCGCCTCCTTCTCTGGCAGAGGAGGGAAGGCCTCCAGGTAGGTGGGGATGTAGGCCTCATCCTCCGGGACGCAGCCTGGCCCGAAGACACAAGAAGGAAGGGATGAAATTAAGGACAGAGGGAAAAAACAGAATGCATGTATGGATTGTTGAAGGAGCATGTCAAATGAAAAAATAGATAATACAGGAATAGGTATTATGTTTTAAAGGAGGACCTCAAAAATCGCACCACCCTCAGGAAGAATCATAAAAAAATACACAAAACGAGAATGTACCGCAAAGGCAAAATATGTTTGCCTCACTGTTTTGGCTAAAAAGTGACAAGTAGCTTCTGATGTAAAAATCTTCCTACTAAAGTATAAAGAGATGAGTTTATGACAGGCGGAGGTTACCTGTGTTCTCCTGGTCCTTCAGGCCACTGCGATGCTCTGCAAAGCTCTCCGGGGTCAACACTGCCACTGAGCTCATGGTCTAAGATTTATTCCGCTATTCCACTAAGAGGTGGGAAAGGATTGAGTATAAAAAAAAAAAAAAAGACATTAGTTGCTGCATCTGCTTATTCCTAAAATAGTTAAACCCTCCGCAAAAAGGCACAATAACTGGTTCAAACTGTGTCTCCCAAATGGTTCTCCCTTGGTTTGTATTTTCTCTGAGCTTGCTTTCCATAAATCCCAGGAGATTGAGGCTGTCCCAAAAGATTTGCTTCGCAGCACCGATGCAACATGTTACACCTGAGATGCTCCAATTAACACTTTAGAGGCCTCAGACAAACACACAGCGCCACAGGGAGAGAGTTATCACAAGTCTGAGAGCCGTCTTAGTCTAAAAACAACCACTGCTGGTGTTTCTTGTGATTCAGAATCACGGGATCTTGTCAGCAGTGGGTCTTCCCAGAGTGTTTTTTAAAAAGTAAAATGAAAGAACTATAAATCTGCAAACTGTTCCTCTGACTGTGCAAGTTTTTGTAAACTGAGCACAAAGAGAGTGTTGTGATTTAGGGAGGATATTGGCTTTTTATAGCTACTGACTGCTGGTGCAGCAATAAGAAAAGCATTCAGCAGTAAAATACAATCATTAAAGTCCTAAAAAAATTGTTTTCTATTTAAGAGTTAGTGGACAAAATCTTTAAATGTTTTACTTCTATTAATTGGATTTCTTGGAATGAGTAATGGAAATAACGGTTGAGCATCCTTAGATTATTGGAACCATTTATTTGTACGTAATATTTCTGCTAAGAGAAGTTTTTCTCGCTCTTAAATAGACATGTAAATCCATCCCCTCACTGTGTAAGGCTTCTGGAGTACAACAGAGACTTTGTGTTATAATCTAATATCTGTGACATGCTCCAATAAAATGGCTTCTGCCAAAAATGTAACTGTGCTCTCAGTGAAGATAATAACTGTCATGTGAAATCTCCTCCTGCTGGTAAAGACCCCCTTAAAAGCCCAGAAAATGAAACTACACAAAAGAAGTATCTCCTGGAGGGAAAAGCAGCCGTGTAGGCAATATAAGAGGACACAGTAACGCTAAGTTAAAGCTGTGGGAGAATCGATCAAATTGTATTTTACAAAGTGAGCCCACGCTTACCTGCAAAAGGTCAATTGCCAGAGAGTCCGTCCAGTTAGCGGCTACCGTAGGCGCTTCAGTGTGAGTGTGTGTTTCAGCTCCTGGGTGCACAGAGAAAAGAGACTGAAAGTGAACACTGTAAATCAAAAAGGCTGTAGCAGCACGGAGGCTGGGTGAACACTGAACACCCACACTGCACTGCACCTTACTCCGTCTGGATCTGATTCACTCTCCTCTCCTCTCCTCCCCTCCCCTCCCCTCCCCACATCTCTCTGCTCATCTTCCCTCCATTATAGTTCTACACACTCATTGGCTCAGGAAATTAGAAAATGAATGTAACCACAGAATATGAGAATATACTGTAGCTGATCACAGAGAATAATTATGCAATGCCTTTTCTCTCTTACTTGTTTTAGGTTTAGATCTTAGTGTTGAATTGGGTTCACAGGGGGCTTGGGGGGCCCAGCTGTGCAGCCAAAAACTCTTAAACTTCGTTTTTAAATGCTAGTTGAGATGAAAATGTATTCTAAGATAACAACATTGCTACAGTAAAGTTTCAGAAAGTTAATAAAATGATGTAGAGAAAATGTGGAATATTTCCAAATTAAGGAATAGTGCGGACACAGAATATATGAAGTCTTGGGTTTAATGTTTCATCAAAAGTGAAATCATCTTCAGTGAAAAGCTGAAATCAATCTGTTAGAGATTGTGTTAGCCTGCTACAGACTTCTAATTCACTGTATTTCAAATGCAAATACATCTACAGTTATTTGAATTTGACTATTGAGCAATAGTTGATTTGCAGAAATAAGATGCATACCATAACTACAATGAGTTTATGAAATATGATAGATCTTACGTCATTGTACACCTAATAGAGCAGCAGGAATAAGCCCAAAATAGAACAAATACTACAGGTAACGGCTACACATTAATGAAGCAATAATAATTAATGTAATAAGAAACGTAATACAACTGACTGAGAACGTTATCATATAATGAGTGACATATAATGTATTTGGCTATTAATGCTTAGGTACATGTACAACACACACACACACACACACACACACACACACACACACACACGTTTGCACAGCAGGTACAACTGTGAACTCAGTACTTTTAATTGTTTGTATTGTGTAGTTTGGTATTGCCACAATACTTCTTCCACCATTGGTTAAGGGGTTAAATAAGTAACTACTGCCGCAAGTTTCCCCATTGTGGCTCAGCGCCTGCTAACACTTTGTTACATTGCTAACAATTATACTGAAATGTAATAAATGAATGAAAGAAATAAAGAACATTTGGTTCTCTGTAATACAGTATAGCGTTTATTTAGCCACCACTGTGCCTAACAATACTAGTACCACCAGTTATCTACAGGAAAAATTAAATAAAGACGGTGAAATTAATCCCACTGTGCACCATGCTAGCTAACGGTTCAGTGAGACGCATCTCTCTTTAGCCGACTTATTGCTAGCTTGAGGATGCACTGCATGGCTTAATCTGCAAGCATAGGCGGACAAATGCAAAGGGTTTGAAACATTATTCAGCCGGGCTTGCTAGGCTAACACACATCACTGTACTCCGACCTCAGCCGGAGATGATTAGGCGCAAGGACTTTCTGATAATCGGCTAAAAAACAAGACAGGCGGACAGATAACCAGCTCCAGCTCCGGGGGCGCTGTAAAGGCTGCTTCCCTTTGTGTTAAAACCGGCTTTTTCGCTTCCACACATACACTCTTGAATCCATCCACTGTTTGGCACAATTAGATTAAAAGAAAATATGAAATAAATACATAATTCCTACCTTTCAGAGAGAAAATATAGCAGAGGGTGTGTGTTTGACAGGTGATGGTGTAAACACAGATGTGATTGGTCTACGAGCATTTCCTATGCCCGCGGAGTGATACCAGCATGCACTTGGACTCACATAGTATAAAGGAAATGCCGCAGTATCTTTGCGCAACAGGAGCATCCAGGTTAAATAGATCCGTGGGATTTTAGTCCTGTTCTTCACACCCTTATGTTTTATTGAGGTGTAAAGGAGTCATATGTGGTGTTCAGGATATTAATTGATTATTGAAATAATGTTTTCAAGTTATCAGCCCTCGCAACGTCTCACGTCCGTCAATCTGACCGGGACTACTTATCATTCATGATGCCCTGTGTGCTCTCAAGGAAGTCAGAGCGTCATACTTTCTCTAAAGTTCTTTATATTCTTGTTGTCAATTCAAACTACTAGATAGTAAGTCAATAGTTTTAGTTACTAAGTAAATGTTGAGATAATTAATCACCCAAAGACCTAAAAAGCCGAAATCATGAGATAAAAGTTTAGTCTTTGATTGATACATTTAAATCATCACCTATTCAATTACAAATGTGGCCTTTTTTAATGACATTTTTAGTAATTAAGTTGAGTTATGAGACTGAGTTAAAAGGTTTAGCTAGTCTACTTAAAATAATAAAATATAAGATCAAGATTTTAATTATGACGTCAAATGTATGATACATTTGACGTCATAATTAAAATCTAAGTGAAAAATATTAAGTCAAACTAATGAGATAGTAAATTGAAAGTTTGGATTACTAAATCAAATATTTTACAATAACAACTCTTGGCGGTGGTGGCGGTAGGGACTTGGCTTGGCAACTGGAAGGTAACCAGTTCAAGTCCCGGAAAGACCAAGTGCTACCGAGGTGTCCCTGAGCAAGGCACCGTTCCCTACACTGCTCCCCAGGCGCAGTACATAATGGCGACCCACTGCTCCTAACACTAGGATGGGTCAAATGCAGAGAAACCGTTTTGTTACATAGTACCTGTACTACGTAATGACAATAAGTTGAATCTTCTTCAATCTTCAATCTTCTTAATGATAATATAATACTTAATTACTTTTAGGTAGATCATGACTTACTTTTAACCTATTGTTAGATTTTCCTAGCAGAAATTGCCTTCCATAAGGTATTGATTTGCAGAGCTATTAAAATATACATTTAATATCTAAGGAATCCAGTTTAATGGAAACTTCATGTCTGTTCCACTCTAAGACACTAGGTGGAAGTATTATACAAAAGTAAAATACAATAGTTAAGGGAGGGCCAGATACAGTAGCCAAGTACAGCCTTCTGTACACCTGTAATCTGACATGGTTTTATATTGTACGCAACAATATAAAGTAATTCTGTAGGTCGTAAAAATGTGAGTGTTAGTTAATGAGTGCCTGTTTGATATCTCAGACACTTAAACAGAAACTTGTTCTCAGTTTTTTTTTTTTAATCACGGATTTTACCGTCAGTTACAACATATTTGTTTACGATACCAACAAAAAACAACAAATATTTGTATTTGTATTATAGTTCTCGGACGTAAGTAGATGGAAGGACCGAAGATGCACACACAGGAAGTTTCCGATTTGTCACATTTTGACTTTCAAAATAAGAGTAAACTCAAATTAAACAAAAAAATAAAGCATTACCATAAAGAAGTACATTAATATTTGATTTAATGAAACACAAATTGTAATGATTTCGATGAATTGTGTAGTTTATGCAAACATATGGGGATGTAATTAATTATTCTTTGATTTAGTTTTCTGAATGAAAACAGTGTGCTGTTTTATTCAGCTCTACTTTTTGTATCTCATTTTCTTTGAGGGGTAATTTGTCATGCAACCATGTAGACACTCACAGAATTGACCAGAACACCATTTAAGAAACATAAAAGATGCACACATTTGTAAAACAATATGCTATAACCTAACACACACAGGCTTGCTTAACATGGTGTACTTCAGGAGAAAACATGTATGGAGTACATCTAGCCATTATTATCCCACCCAATCATCAATTGTTAAAATACTAATACACTAATATCCATTTGATCACCTATTTTCACAAAGGGGAACCATCATAACCTACATTTGGAAATGGGCGGATTTTAAATATTTTATTTTGAAATCCCTCACCGGAACCAGTAAGCATTACCATGGGTAACTTGGAGGCTTCAGTCCTCAGGGGGGTCGCTGCTCTCTACCTCCCGTCCTCTCCTCTCATACATACATGCTGCTGCTAACAAAGGAGACAACAACAGGGGGATGATGGGTGCTCAGACAACAAGCCTGTCAGAAAAACAATAAGAAACTCAACCGGGTTGCTTTTACTTTGTGGATATATATTTTTTAACTAACTATACTTTTCGCCGCGGGACGACTTACGTTTAAAGTAACGTAGCTGTGCACCGGACCGATTTTAACGTAAAGCTTTTTTTCTTTCCAAATCTATCCATGTTGGACTGCCAACACTAGAGGCGAATAACAGAAGAGTAACAGTCAGACATGGCTGAATAACACTGGTGAGTTTTATTCCATATTTGAATTAAAATGGCAGTATTACTGATAGTTAAACAGGTGCGGTTTGGTAGGCGTTTACGGATGAATCTGGAAGCACCTGTTCCCATAAGAAAAACCGATGTAATACTTGTTTTAAAGATGAGAGTGACGTTGTCATACTGAAAGGTAATTGTTTAAGCTTTGTGGTATTTATTTAGAATATCCTGTTGTTTAATATTTCGACATATTTCCCAATCTTGTACTAGGTAGGTGACGATACTACTCTACGCCATATAATACGCGATTTAGGCATAGGCTACAAATAATTACGTTAAATGCACACTTTAAAATGTTATGAATAGCCCGCCATTGACACTTAATTCGTCTTTGCGTTTTTTTGTGTTGATTTTGTGTTTCGTTAGTATCATCAAATAGGGTTGACCACCATTGGCAGCTCCAGATGTGATATATCCTTAAATCACAATTAGGGATGCTCCGATCGCCAATTTTGGGGCCGATTGCCGGAATCAGTATCGGCCGATACCGATCGCCGATCCGATCGAGTGGGCGGGGCCTATGAGGATCTTCCATTTAAAGTGATGTTTAAAACTCAGTTAATGGGGCTCATTCACTGGCGCTTCCACAAACAACAACCAACATCATTATTGCATTCAAATGAAGTACATTATTCAAGTTTACATTAACTTTGGATAATAACACGGGAGAAATGAGCGGAAGCTCTCTCTTTTCCTCTCTCCCTCTCTCTCTCTCTCAGGCCCGGTTCCAGAACAAAATGACTCAGGGTGCATCTGAGATTAGAGAGGGTGCAGTGGTAAAGTGCTATTTTTATAAGTGGGGAGTGGACCCAACACCCTCTAAGGGGGTCCTCACCTCCTCTAGGGGGGTCCGGGGGCATGCTTCCCCGGGAAGATTTTTTTTTAAATATTAAAGTTAAAAGCATCAATCTGGTGCACTTTTGCCCCTTTCACACCAACGCAACTCCGGTTCAAGCTCCGTGCTAGAGCTTTTCTGGTTCAGAACCGGTTCTTCGGTTTAGCGCCGGCTCTTTTCACACCGCTCAGAGCCCGACTGGTGCTGCCGCTGCTGCGTCATGACGTCACAGTTTACGTCGCTGAGTTTCTCCCCAACGCCGGAGCTCACCTCACAACAACGGGCCGGGGACTGCGTTGCTTTTAATCATACGAAGCCAGATTAAATTAAATAACGACTTCTCCAACCTTGTACTTTTCTCCAGAGTGCCGTGGTTCATTGTTTATTAATGTGTTTCAGCGGCATTTACCGACCGCTGCAGTGCTGGCCGGCTGCTCTTCAACGGGAGTGTATTCTCCCGTTAGCTCCGGGTTAGCTCACACGGCTCTAAAGTATTCACTGTCTGACTGTCACACAAGCAGCTGATACATATCCCCAGTTCCCCTTAAGTGAATGTGTGTCAGTCTGAATTGACGCTGTTTGGTGTCAGTCTGAATTGACGCTGTTTGGCATCACAACGCTGTTATGAAAGTTTCTCTGGTATAACATGGGTGATGTTAGCATAGCAACCGAAGCTAAACTGACTACTTGCTAAGCAGTTTTCTACAGGCACTTTTTACCGACGTATTTTTCATTATGATTCTACTTGTGATAGTCGGACATGACAACCTGTGCAGCCCATGTATTGATTCCATCCGATAGCTGCTATAATAACAAACAAAACGTCTGCCTGCTCTCCACAATGATCAATAACAGCGAACGGATGGTCAAAGTAAACAGAATCACACGAAGCCTGGTTAGTGTTGCCTGACTTTATAAAGTGTGTTTTTTTTAACAAGTGTGTGGTTGCGTTCTAGTCACTTTGCTCAGCACTACTGCTTGTTACAACTTGTATTTTGCCGTACTCGCCTTAAGTGTTAGCTCAGGTTAATCTCGCCCCCCTCCGACGTAAGCGTGACGTATGCGGTTCTTGCTTCTAGACGGACAACTTTTTGGTGCTCGAAACGAACCGGATTCCGGAGCTATGACGCTGCTCCGCTGCGGTGTGAACAGGAAAACCCGGTGCTTTTCAAGCACCAGCACCGAACCGGCCCTGAAACACCGTTGGTGTGAAAGGGGTAAGAGAGAGCAAAATTAAGAGATCTATGGATACATCGCTCAACACCCATATGAAACAGAACTGTAAACAGATTTACTTTTTCTTTACGGATATTTTACAAATCACTCCCCTTTTAAGACCGAAATGTCTACATGCATAGCAGAAGATGGCATCTTTTTTACAGGAATATTCCAGCCAATCTCTGTTTTGAAACCATGAGCTGTAAAATGAGTGCCTTACCCCACTGTACAGGCGAGTTGGTTACTAAATATACCTGGGCAGGCTCTGTTTTGCCGAGGTCCTCTGGCACTTGCGGGCCGCCGAGGGGTGGCGGTGTTTGGGGCAAAGAAGACGGCTGCGGCTGCTCCGCCTCCTTGGGCGAGGCGGGCAAAGCCGGCGAGTCGGGCGGGAGGACGTTAGTGTCCACGACAGTGGCCGCGGGTAACGTAATGTCCCCATGATCTGAACTGTTATTACCTGCAGTAGATGCAGTGTTACTGCTGGCGATAAGGGCTGGTTGTTTTAACCATTTTCTGATGTCCATCATTGACTGCTGTGTAAGCACCTTGCAAATGACGAACGCGCAGGGGCACAGGTCACGCGCACCTGACATAATAACGTTACTTACCGTTTAAATTGACCAAATAAATGCAGCAGACAATGTTATTTAACCACAATTACAATTTATTTTATTTCAACTATATTCTTCTTCTTCAACTGAGGGTGCAATGCACCCTTATGCACCCCCGTAGAACCGGGCCTGCTCTCTCTCCTGACAGCCTGTCAGTATCTCATGCAGCTCACTGATCCAGTAATGAGTGACCCGACAGTGAAGAATAAACATATGTATAACTAGTTTAGCTTGTTCCAGAGGTAGATAAAATAGCTAAGTGTGTTAGGTCTAACTCTTAATGTGTGTTCTGCTCCGCTCACCGGTCCGTCACAGCGGGTGGAGCTGCAGGATTTCTGCTTCACACAAGTTGCATACCGCTATTTTATTGTCATTTTCGGACACCTTAAAATACTGCCAGACCGGTGAAGCCATTTTCGCGAGCTTGTTTTGCCGCGCACAGAGAATAGTGTCATGTATTTTACGTCATGCGATCGGCTCTCGCGATCGGCATTTTTAGAGAGCACCGATCGATCGGCAGAGAGTAAGTATCGGCCGATATCGATCGGCGGCCGATCGATCGGAGCATCCCTAATCACAATCAAATAGGACCTAAACATTATATCTACATTTGCAAATCCATAGGTGTGTTTTTCTTTTTCTGCTTATGTCACTAAACCAACTGTGTGTTTATTCCTCTTTCCTGTAAACCCACTCCTGTGTGTGTGTGTGTGTATGAGTGTGTGTTTTCCAAACCGACACACCCTTTCCGTCCCCTCTTCCTGTCCAACGTGGAGCACTTCACATGTATTGTAATGGTAGCTCTCTTGAAGCCCCCCTACCTGGTTTGTATACACACACACACACATACACACACACACACATACACATACACATACACATACATACACACATACACACATACACACATACACACACACTGACCCATTAGTGTCCAGATGGCTTACTGCACACACACACACACACACACACGCACACGCACACGCACACGCACACACTCAGTCACTCAAGAGCATTGTGTAAATGGTCGACCCCTTTAAGCACTTAAGGATTGTTCTCAAGCTGGTGTGATTTAAGGGATCACACCATATTTGATTTTTTTCTTTGGACTTACCAGGACAAACACACTCTGGAATGAATGACTGGCCCACTGACCCAGCCTGAGTGTGTGTAGGGTCCAGTAAACTAAAAGATGTTGCTATTGAACTAACCAGGTCAATAGATTAAACGGAGACAAAAGAGAAGAGAATTTGGGGCTTTTGGAAAGAAAGTCATGGGGGAATTGTTACCTCAGGTCTAGCGTCTCACTTGGTCTACAAGTGCATTGACACACAATCAGAATGTGTTATCGCCACTGTGTAGAAGAGTGCTTTGTGAGTGTACACACCCTCCTATTTGAGGTTTCTATGTCACCCAGTGGACAATGATAATAACCAGAGGGCTAAAACTGAAACCTGGTAAGACTTACACACACCCATAAATACAAACATTGCTGTGGTGATGTCATGTTTCCCAAAGTATTGATTATAAAGTACTCAAAAAGCAATAACTTGAAGACAAAGATGAAAATAGTGCAAAAGGGCGTAGTTTTTATAATTAACCTCCTGGCGTTTTAATGCCATTCATTTCTGCTCTCTGAATTTGTAATTATCTAGTGCATTGTTGTTTGTCTACCCAGAAACATTTTTCTTTGACAGACTGAAACATGAAACCCTGTCTGTCTTTTTATTATAAGCTCACTGACTGTGCAGCATTCACGTCCCAAAGAAACTGGTCCGACTAGCCGGTGCGCTTTCTCAATAACGTGTGTTTGACTTTGTGTGGAAAGGAGCTCAGAGATAGATTGCTGCCTGCGACGCTTTTGTTTACCTGCTGGTATCAGACACCATGCCTGTTTAATTTCCCAAAGGTGTTGCCTGGTCACTACATTATATAAAATCACTGGCGCCTACATCCGATGGAAAACACACTGTAATCTTTTACCAAGTGAGAGAACACTCCACTGAATTGCTCTTGCGTAATGGTGGGTGACCTGCAAGAGATACATTTAAAAATAAATGTAAAAAATGATTAAAAAAAAACCTTTGATAAAGATTTTTTTTTACTTTGAGTCAAGGCATATTCTTAGCAGGATGGGAGGAAATCTGAAAACCGCTTACCGTCTCTTCTTCTTGTGAAGTCATGTTACCCACTCATCTAATCCCAGGCAAAGTGTGGCTTTTACACAATCACGTTTTTAGTGATTGATACAAAATATCAGTAAAGTGTCCATTTGCTTCAGTGTGAGATCTCATATGTCTGCAGGTCAGTTCAAGCTCCAAAAACACAGACTAAATGGCACTGCAACCAGGAGTTATTTTCCTTATCAATGAATCAGCCATTACATTTTCCAAAATCATAATGTATTGTTCTTCTCCATCAGACTGTCAAAACCCCAAGATTGTACATTTCCACGAAAAGCTAACTGTTCTTATATTTGAGACGTGCAACAAGTAACTTTAATTTCACAAAATCCTTTTTGAGATTCATTTTTAATTTAAGTAATTGTTTCAGCATTTGTTTATGCGGATAGTTATTGAGATATTTCAGCCTGGAGTGGTCAAGTGGACCAACCAACATGAACATCCATAGAGAAATGCTGCTAGTTGACATATGATGACTTGGGGTTAATACGATATAACTGCCAGTTGCTTATTGGTCTCTTTATTTTGTAACACTTGCTAAATGATTGATCAATGTATCCGAAACTGAGTCACTACTTTTATCCTCAATTAGAGCTGTTTTGAAGTTGCAGCCTTTAAATGAGGCGTGTGTAATCCCTAAAACATGTAGCTACATGCAATATTCATGTTTGAAAGAGTCACACAAAGTAGTGCAGAGATGTCTTCCTCTGCATGACTCATAACATGAGAGACCCTCCTTTGGTTCGGTAGGGCATCAGCTGTTGCACACACATCAGAAACACGATGAGAATCTGCAGCATGGCCATTTGGTCACCACAGCCCAAGTGTTTATAAAAATAAACAAATTCAGTCTCATTTGACTGCTTCATTTGACTAGTCTTTTAAATAAGGACGTTTCTCAGTGAATATTTAAAGACTGAATCAGTGTGGATTTACTGCGGTCTCGAGTGTCATGTGTGTACATATTTAATGATTAATGGTTTTCTAGCATAAAAGTAAAAACACCGAACACACTTAGGGTAGCTTTTTTTATGAAAACATGGACTTCTATGTGAAGAACAATGGAGGCTTTTCAACCTGTTTAGGGCAGCAGTGGACAGGGTGGAGTGATCGTAAAATACGATTTGTATTGAAACAGTGGTTAACTATTAATTTAATTACAACAGTCAGTGTGTCATCGATTAAAGTATGCCGTTCAAAATGTTGTCTCGCTACCCAGGTGTTACACATGAATGATCAGCAAACCAGAGAACAATTGGCTTCTAGATTCTTCAATGTGTCTTTTATACGCTGAGGTTCAAGCTGTAATAATATTACATTTGAAAATAGTTTCCAAAGGATGACGGCTCTGAAATCGAAACCTCTTTGCTCGGCTTCCCTTCTCTGATAGCATTCCAGCCATTAAGCACTAAATGAATAAAGAGAGTCATGCTTTTCTGCTTTGATTCATTAATAATTAACAATTTAAGATGTTTGGCAACTTTACAATGGAAACATCAATTATCTCTAACTGGATTTCACTCCACTGCGTCACCTTGTAAACAGACATCTCTCGTGTTCTTTGTGAGAATGTGAAGGGATTGGACTCCTTGCAGTGCAACGTTCATTTCCCTCTGAGGCCTTACAGTGGGGGGATTGGAAGAATAGAGCTCGAAGTCTAATTGAAGGATTACACTATAATACAAACACTGAAATATGTAGTGTTTATTGCGTTGTGTAAATGTTTATTTCAACTTCAGTAAACGATAATTAGATATGGCCTTTTTTAAGTAATCACAGGCCTAAAAAGATAATAACGACTAACTTAGAAGTTGAATGCGCTCACATGTAATCACTACATCCCCAGTTTAAAACATGTCTGTTTCTCTCCATTCCTTGTTAGCTGTATTCTTAATCATTATTCCCGCTAACAACAATAACTTTCAAAAAACGACTTTGAACACTTGAAGCACCCTCTGTTTGTATTTGAGTTGTATTAGTTTGTTATAGTGAATTTTTTACTTGATTATTAAATGTGACATTGTTTATTCTATAGATACTCTATATATCTATATACGTCTCCTGTTTTTGTATGTATTTACTATTTACTGTTTATTTATTTACAGTAGAAAAGCTTGTTTTAACTTCCTTTTTCTTTACTCTTCAGGTGGTGATGTCATGCTCACATTGACCTTTGCCGTGAAAGCCTGACCTCTGATTGGTCAGCGCTGGGAGTTCAAACACCGTGAGAGAAGACTAGCTAGCTACCATGTCTGTTCAGGACACATCCCGGCGGGCCACGTCGCCATCACCCCTCAAACCTGAGGCCAAACCGCGACCGTACATCCCTCCGAAACCCTCCCCACAATGCACCTCCCCTCCTCTGGGGGAGAGGGGCAGCATCTTGAGGCTTTCAGGGGGGAAGGTGAAGAGCATCGTGAGCAAGTTTAGTAAAAATTATTCAACTGAAGCAGAGGAACAACCCACCAATGGTGCTGCAAAACCAAAGGCCCATAAGCGCTTCAAGAGGCCGCCTACGGTGAAGCCCAAACCGAACCGAGCCGGTCTGCAGCTTCAGCTCGGGGGGGAGAAGGCCCCCCCGCTGCCTGTGAAGAGGAGCCGCACCTTCAAGAGGCAGAGCGAGATTGAGGGGGAGGCGGACAGCATCGGGGTGGAAGGAGGTCGATCAGGTAGGGTCGGCTGACGGCATTATTCTCTCTGCCCATTTTTTTATATTTATTTTGGACTTTTGTAATGTTTCACTATAGTTTCTCATGATTTCCACCCAAACAAGAAGTCACAAGGGAAGTTTCAGTATTGTATGACCATTACAATTGATAAAATACCCCCAGATTAAAGCAAGGGCAGTATTACAAAAAAACCATTGTCACTCCTCCAGCTCGATATCAGGAAGGCGTGTCACGTGATTTCTAGAAAATGAAAAGAAAATGTGTCAGACTCTCACCTTTGGCTGACATTCAGACCTGGCAACATTTAAAGATACTCATAGCAGCTTTTATCTGCAGGATGAAGATCAGATGACACTGTGCACGGTGTTTTACTCACTCAGTGTAGTTAGAGATCAAAGGTCAATCTCATTGATGAAACCGAAAGAATAAAACATGGTAGTTGAAGCAGAAGGTGTGTTTAGAGACTTTTGCATGCGAGTGTGTGTGTGTGTGCCTTATTTATTTTAAAGTTAAATAGGCGCAGTGAAGGTATTGCACTGAATGTAAACTCTTAAACAGACAGGTGTGGCAATACTGAACCAACGGCCCTAAACAGGTTCTGCCAGTCAGCTGATCAAGTGTGTGTGTGTGTGTGTGTGTGCTACTCCTAAGTAATGTGAAAGCAGAAAGGGACGGTTACTGTGCTTACTTAGACTGATAGAAGAAACCATGGCATTTCTTTCATCATAAAGGATGTCCTTATCCTCTACTCCAGTCGTAAAGTCAAGGACATTCAATCTCAGTTTGTAGCTCCTTAACACCAGACATGTGTTGCTGTGTCATGATGTCCATATTTGGCCTGACTCAATACTATAAGAAAATACATTCATTGTATTGTCTTGGAAATAGTGTGTGTGAGACCCACCCCCAGTTACTCACACTGAGCTTTCACTTCCTCCTTTTGGTTCCCCATCAGCAACAGGAGGTCTCTGCGCAGGACATTAGGTTCTGTGGTGATATGTCATCTTACCATCAGTATCCATATTAGCTTCAAAATCCAATTATCTTTCTACTGGAGGTTTATGACCGAAATAACAATTATCTGTTCATTATTCTCGAATTAGAGCCCATGCACAGTTAGATCTTCAAATTGCATTTGTTTGATTTCCCTAATGTCCATAAAACCCCAACATATGAAATGCAGTATATAAAGAAAAAGCGGAAAACCCTCATATTTTAGAAGCTGTATCCAGATCATGTTTTCCCTGAAAAATAACTTTCATGATTAATCCAGTATAAAGTTATGGCTCTGTGACCTATGTTTGGAAGTGATCGAGATGGAATTAAGCTTAATGCAGCTTTTCAACTACAAAAGTTTCATGTTTCTTAAAATAATGCAATGCGTGTCTGAGAACACAAATACTCCTGCATCATCTGATATCATAAGACATCTGTGTTGGCATAACTGTACTCATTGACCCATTACTCTCCCTCCTCCATTCCCTCTCTCGTTCCTCCACTTCTTCCATTTCCTTTCTTCAGTATTGGATGTTTTACACATGCAACCTTCCTCAAATCTTCATGAATATTTGAGGAAACCAACCACTCGCAGAAATGCTGTATTTCTCTAGTGCTGAACTGCTGACTTGACGGTTCAGGGTGTGCAATGTGAAGCTGGAAAACAGCTCTTAATGAGAGAGAGCCGTCCTGTCTGAGGAGACGCATGAAGGGAAGGAGGGACAGGAAACTGCTCCTTCACACCCATTAGCTTCAGAGTCAGCTTCAGAGCCACACAGCTTTACACAAGGGAACTGCTCTGGGTTCTAATGGGGAATTCATAAACACAGTAGGAGGGAAAAAGGAGCAACAAATTGAATCTTATAAGAATAATTTAAATGCTTTTGTAACGTTTAAAATATTCAAAGAAATGTTCACAAGAAATGTAAAAATACTTAAAATAATATGACATATAATAAAATATGTGTAATATATCAGAATTTATATTGGAAAAGCTGTTTTTAAGGAATAGCATTGAACAGAAATATGCAAAAATATTTGTCCTATAATAATAATAATAATTGTATTTGTATAGCACACTTTAAAAACAATGTCATCTCAAGGTTCTTCACAATTTGATGAGGAAAAAAGTGATCTAAGAAACATATTTAATCAAAACATTTTAAAATAAAAATACATACAAAACTAGGGAGTTGAGTTTAAAAAAATAATAGGTGAAGAGCATCAAAGGTTAAAAATAATAATAAGGACAATCAGTAGAATGCGGTGTGGAACAGGTGCGTCTTAAGGCGTAGAGCAGCTACTAAGTGTTTCCTAATTGTATAAATACATCTATATTCTTCCTATAGTGACATTATAAAGAGCTCATTAACAGAAGCACTAACTGTGTTGCTTCTTCTGATGCAGCTCCTGATGGAAAAGAGGTGGAGTCTCAGATGGTGGGAGGGGGTGAGGTGGAGGCGGAGCTTAGTCCTCACACCCCTCTCAGTCCCAGCTGTGAGTCGGGCTGCAGCTGTGTGTGTCACCGGCAGTGGCCCGGCATGAAACTCATATGGGTGCCCGTGGATGAGGAGGAAGAGGAGGGGGGAGACGATGAAGAGACTGATGTGGAAGAGCAGCAGCAGGAGGAGGAGGAGGATGATGACTACTGGGAGGAGGATGAAGAGGTGGAGAGGGTGGGGGAAGGGGAGAGCGAGGCGGGGGACGAGGTGGACAGGATGTCGGTGATCGATGAGGGCGAGGTGTCCAAGCAGGACAAGGCGAAGTTCCACCAGTGTTTGGACGTTTTAATCTCCGATGGCAACAGGAGGCGCTCGGACCCCGGCCCTCACTGTGTTCTCACTTCTCTGGCCGCCATCCGCTCCGAGTCCCCCCCTGTCCCCCCAAAGCGGTCCCAGTCCCCACAGGTCCAGCCCACCCAGAACGAGGAGGAGAATATTTACGAGGCCACCCTTCCCATGGTCGACCGCGTCCCTAAAAAGACTGTGTGTAAGGAGCTGGATATTCCTCTTATAAAAGTGCGCAAACCAGCCCGCCGGAACAAACTGCCCTACAGCTCCTCAGACCCCACGTCCGAGTTTCTGACGGGCACTGAACCCCTCTCCAGCCCGGACGAGGAGGCCCCTGCCGTCCCACCCAGGATGCCTGTTCACCCCGATGGTCGCAGCCTCACGCCCGTACACAGAGCAGGGATCCCTCTCCCGCAGCCCACCCTGGAGGAGTGGCGCAACCTGCGGCCCGCGTCCCCCTGCGGCTCTGTCTCCAGCGGCCTGAGCCCCCAGAGAGCCCTCACTCCTCCACTCAGCCCTTGCAGACCCCCCCCTCCGCCGCCAAAGACAGACCCCAGGAGGCTCAGCAGTGCCTCCATGCAGTCCCTCACACAGAGAAAAGGTTTGCACCGAGCTGACTTTATTATCGTGGCCTGAGAGGAGCTATGAATGGTTCACAAGTTGTTGACAGTAGTGTTTTGTCTTTTCAGAAGAAGAGCAGAACGGGGGGAATGAAGGCGAGACAGCAGAAGAACCGTGAGTTATCACCCTCACATTTCAACTCACTTCCATTCTTTTTAGATTATAAGGATGATGATATTTGATATTGTTCTATATTTCAAAAATCCCAACAAAAGCCATCATAGTCTGAGTTTAGAGCTTATACAGATACATAGTATTTAGAGACTCAGTAACACAGGCCCTGCATTTTGAATAAGGCAAGGCAAGGCAAGGCAAGTTTATTTATATAGCACCTTTCAACACAAGGCAATTCAAAGTGCTTTACAAAAACCCAAACTACCATAATATTTAGAATGCCAGAATCAGACTTAGCATGTCCCAGTTCCTAGTTTATCAAAGTATGCATGAGTGGAATATATCAGTAAGTCCTTCTGCATCCAGTTGCATTTTCTATTACACAAGCCAGAATGCTGCTCTGGCTTTTTTGACCCATAATCCTTTGCGCGGCAGGTATATAATCCAGAGGGTCAAAGTTCAAGGCACAATGTTAGGTCGAAGTATATTGTCTCAATTGCATGTATACTGCGAAACAGCGCATACCTTTTAAGCTCAGCTGCGGTATGTACTACAAAACAAAGGAAGTGATTTGGTATGCAGCCATTGTTGGGTTTGGGCTATTTCTGGGTTTGTATCAATAAGACATTCTTATCCTCCAAGTCAACATTGGTGTTCTTGTGTGTATGTAATGATCAGTAACTGTTGTCAGTCACTCTTTTGTTGAACATTTCCATATCTCCCTTGTTAATCCTATTTTCTTCGTTCCATACTCTTTCAGGCGTCCAATCAGGAGCGGGTCCCTCAGGAGGGAGACCTCGTTCAGCTGGGAGTCCCGCCTGCAGGATGGTAAGCTGACGGGATACAATGTCAGTATGTTGCTATGCTAACCACCAACATGAACACTGCTTTGTGACGTTCAACTCTGACCACCTTGAGATAAAGGCTGAAGACTATTCTATCTTAGCCAAACTATTCATATCTAACTCTGCAATGTAACTTTTAATTAGATTGAAATACCTGTCTTCCTTTGTTTAACTAATATACTCTTGGCTTTTTAATGACAGTGTGTTTAAATGTAATGTTATCAGAATCAGAATCAGAAACAGGTTTATTACCAGGTAGGTTGACACGTACGAGGAATTTGACTTGACTCATGGTGCGTACATAAAAAATTAAAAACACAGATAGAGAACTAGAAAAATATTTAAAATAATAACAAATATAGTCAAATATAACAGTATTTACATAGAAATAGAATGGAAATGATAATGTTTCGTTCACACTGAAACCCTTTTAACTGCCTTTTTTGTTGAAATTAGCTTTATAAATAATTGTATTTAACATTTCCTTGCCTCAGAGCCTCTGTACCAGACGTACCGAGCCACTGTCATCACCAAGGAGATCCGACGGCAGACAGTTTGTCGCAACATCAGCAAAACCAGTGTGGACTACGCCATGGACTGGACGGCCCGTCGCCCAGGGGCCAGTACAGGGACCGGGACCAGCACTGGGTCAGGGACCAGCACTGGGTCTGGGACCAGCACTGGGTCAGGGACCAGCACTGGGTCAGGGTCCGGACCCCCCCGGAGCAGCACTGTGCCCACGCCGGGTCAGAGCACCCTGTGGCAGGACCTCCCAGCTGTTCGGGAGGCGGGGGTGCTGGAGCAGCTGACCCCGGAGCAGTGCAAGTACCAGGAGGTGAGGGAGTGATGTGAGGAGATGGGGGGAGGCTAATGCACTGAGGAGGGATCAATGATGATGAGGAGGAGAGGAATGGAACATGCAGGATCAAGTTTTTTTATATCTGCCCTGCTGTAATCAAGTATTGATTATATTTCATGAAAGCTTTTCCAGTCAACTTTCCAACATCAGGCAGGACTCTTTAAGGAAATACATATTTTTTCAAGTACAGGAAGGGTACTCTAAATCATGATGGTGTCATAACCCACCAACACATCAATCCTTATAAAGAACGCCCCAATGTTCTCATAGAGTGGATTGTTTTCACCTACAGTCTGTTCTTCCATGTGATAAGTCACCCTCCTGAGCATCATTTGAAGACATGTGTGTGTCTCCCTGGCAGAGTATGTTCGAGGTGTTGACCTCCGAGGCCTCTTACCTCCGATCCCTGCGAGTTCTGACCGAACACTTCCTGGACAGCCGGGAGCTGGAGGAGACGATGATCATCAGAGAGAGGAAGACCCTCTTCTCCAACATCCTGAGGATCCGGGAGGTCAGCGAGAGGTGAGCTATGGCACAAGGAAGGATGGAGGGAGAGAAGGGAAAAGGGAAATAGGAAGGAGGGTTATGAGTTGAACTACAACAGGGTCATTTTGTGACAAAGATACCAAACGATAGGAAGGATGTAATGCAATGAGTCATTTCCTAAGTGGATTTCTGCAGTGGTCCACTCTGCCAGAGTGTCCTCAAAAATGTGATATATAATACATGTATTCTTTATCATTAACAACTGCATATGTTCAGATGTGGACCATATGAAATCAATTGCTTAAACGTATTTAAGCTGTAAAGTTGAGCCCAATTCCAATTCAAATGAAAGTGGTATTTTCATTACTTAAATGGTCAGTGTTTGTGTTAATTACTATGAAGCAGGTCTGAAGTATTCAAGTTAAAAAGTGTATGATATAAATAGTTACAATGGCGGTGTCCTTGTCAAATGTTCCCCATGGTACTATAGGAGGTCCCTTGCCTCACACAAAGGTAGTAGCTATGAATAGGGCATCGTCTTTGTTGGTTAGGGTATAAGAAATGTTTAGTAAAGCCTTTTCTGTCTGACTCGCAGGTTCTTGAAGGACCTGGAGGACCGAATCTTCCATGACGTGGTCTTCTCTGACATCTGTGACATCATCCACTACCACGCCCAGCACAACTTCCCAGCTTACATCGACTACGTCCGCAACCAGATCTACCAGGACAAGACCTACACCTCGCTCCTGTAAGGAATGAAAAGCATTATGCACACATCACCAACACCAAATGCCTGTCTCTTCCGTGTGCATGAATGCCTTTTGTGTGTGTCTACAGGAAGAACAACATGCAGTTTGCCACGGTCATCACTCGTCTGCAGGAGTCTCCTAAATGCCAGCGGCTGCCCTTCATGTCTTTCTTGCTGCTTCCCTTTCAGCGAATAACACGCATCAAGATGCTCATTGAGGTGAGCAGCGTCACAGCAACACTAGTTACATTTTACTGTAAGCAAGTACAGACGTTTGATTAATCCAGCAACAAGGGGATTAGCTTAATTTAGCATTACAAACTGAAAAAGAAAACTAGCTAGCCTAGCTCTGTTTCTTGCTGCTGCCTACAGCATGTCCGTAACTCTCTGTGAAATCACAACTTGACTTTAAAAAGCATTGTCACAGTAGTGAGTAGTGTTTTTTGTACTTTATTTGTAATTATTTTGTTCATTCTTAAGTTCTTTTATTTATCTTTGTAGTTGGTGTGAGTGTCTTTCTAGTCTGTTCAGATCTCTGTGGAGTGGTTTCATGTTAACTCATTTTGAGTATCATTCTGGTGGGTATGGGTCTCTTTAAGCAACATGATTGTAGGTGAATGCACATTCGGTAATCCATCCATACCGTTCTTTATTCTTAAGCTAATATAATTGTATAAATGTAAGACTTAAGGTAGAGGAGGTATCCTAAATCAGGTCAGTGTCACAGTTTAGTGATTGGCACAGGAATGCAGTTCGCCTTTGCAACCTCTCCATTCTTTCCACCAGTGTCTGAACAGCATGCCACAGTACATGCTGGATAACTGACCCTGCTATAAGCCATCCTGAGTTCATCACGGTGCGTTGCTCGCTGGAATGCCCTCATTCCAGCGTAATCTTCCCCGCTCACACTTGTCACTGCCTCTTGACCTATGAGCAAACACACACCTCGTCTCAACCTATTGACCTTCTTTGCATATAGATGGAAAAAATGTATCCTGTTTGTCCGTCGCAGAAGTAGAAAGTTGTTGTTTGTGGTTGCAGAACATCCTGAAGAGAACAAAGGAGAGGACGGCAGAGGAGCAGACGGCTTCCAAGGCTTTGGCCTCAGTCTCGAAGGTAAACGGCCCCTCACCCTCACTCCTCACCCCTCGCCTGCATACAAATCCATATCATTCGCATGCCGCTGGATATTTGACATCGCCCATTGTCTGATTGAATGATTTCCTTTTGAATGAGCGGTGAGAGTGAGTCATACGTGTCAGCGAGGGCAAAGGCGGTGCGAGACAAACAGGGAGACATTAGTCAAAGCAACGAACCTGATACTCCCAAGGAGAGCTAGTTTGAAATAACAGCTGATGGAGGAAATGTGTAAGTGTGGAAAGAAGTCTACCCAGTAAGTGCTTATTTGATCATCTTTTCCCCCCCCTCTCATCTTCAAACACAGATCATTGTCGAGTGTAACACGCAGGTGGGACAGATGAGACAGATGGAGGAGTTGATCCATATCCATCAAACGCTGGAGTTTGACAAGCTCAAGGTAAACTTGTGTGTGCAATATTTTGTAGTAAGTGCTTAGTTCATTTGAAAAACCCCCGAAATGAGCCTATATGTTTGTGTTTTCTGCAGGCCGTCCCAATCATCTCCCAGACACGACACTTGGAGAAGAAGGGAGAGCTGCAGGAAATGTCCAAAGGAGCGACTCTCTTCCACATGAGGCCAAAGTTCACCCCCATCTACCTCTTCCTCTTCAACGACCTGCTCATCATCGCTGCCAAGAAAGGGTGAGGAAAGGAGTGATTATTACACAGCCTGTGGCCTAGATCTTTGAATTGCAATGTTTTTGTCTCGGTCTATCGGTAGGTCGCACACTTTGTTCAATTCTGAAATGAAGTTCAATTCATTATTTAATTAATTTGTGCTTGATTGACAGCTTTTACAGACAGGGGGAATGAATCCTAATGACTTCTGCCTCGAGCGCCATTCCGTTCAAGTTCATCAAGTTCTGTGATCTTTTGCCTCAGGATCAAATACCTGCGACACAAATAACAAAGCAAAGAGACTCAGCTGTATTATATTTTTGAATGCAAATGACAAGCCAAACTCAAATTGTACACATAAGATACATGCCGATGTTCACGTTAGCTCATGTTAGCATTGTCAATATACAGTGAGCATAATTGTGTTTGCATTCATCTGAATGAACAGCCTCACACAAATAAACACTATGTATAGCATGTTCTTTTCTTATCTTAACAAATTCAGTCTTTGGATATATGGGACTGCATGTTCTTCATAAGTCATTTGCACACATACAGTTCAAATACATTTGAATTAACACAATACTGGTGTTTTTACACATATTTCAAGTGTAATTATTTTTGTGTGATCATAATATGTCAAAGTTGTACTCGCCCAAAGTATGTCCATGAAGACTTTGGGCCCAAATTCCCGCAGAACTCTTTTTGACTTCACACTGACCTACATATGATAATGCGTGTCAACTAACAGCACTAATTCACTCTGCCATGCCTAAGTATGCACTTATGCTTGTAAGTTATTAAGCACAGCTGAGTCAACGTCACACCCAACGGCGAACCACTACACGCCTCGAGCCAAACGCTCCAGCAGCTTCTGTAAAACAATACCCCACTTTACTTTGTTGTTGTTCAGTAACTGAAGTTTCGTATATTTGCCTCAGGAAAGATGCTGTTTCAAATTCAACATCATACCCTATGGTTCGTCATTAACCTGGTGTGGCATTCATGAGAACAAAAGCTTTCGTAATGCTACTTTAAACATCGGGAGAATGTGACCGCTGACCGCAAAAGCAATCCGGACTCTTTAACAGTGTGTCATAACAAGTGAAATGACTCCAAACTTCCTCAAATGTGGCTGGAAATAGTGTTTGAAGAGATCTAAGAGGAAGAGAGGATTACATTACTAACATGCTAATTGTCGCCACAGACAGAACAAATGATGGCAATATCAAATTCAAATAAAACGCCCTAAATGCCTTTACCTCTGCATATGTATATTTCCTGAAGGGTAGGCTCAGCTAATATTTTGCCAAAAACTCACCCTTCTTTTCTTCCACAGTACGGAGCGCTTTGTGGTTCTCGACCACGCCCACCGCTCTCTGGTGCAGGTGCAGGCAGCAGATGAAGGTGGGGGGGGCAGCAGCGGCCCCCTGGAGCACTGCTTCAACCTCACCCTGCTGGAGAACCACCAGGGGCGCATGATGGAGCGGCTCCTCAAAGCCCCCTCGCAGTGAGTAGCTCTTTGTCACTCACCAACATGTGAACAGCCTCAATTTACTTTCAGGCGGCATCTTAATCCAACATTGTTTATTTATTCCAGGTCAGACATGCACAGGTGGATGGCAGCTTTCCCCAACCCCACCAACCCAGACAGAGATGAAGATGAAGTGATTTATGAGGACTGGGGTGAGAACACACACAAAGTGAATGTACAGTATGTGGTTGTGCGTGTTCCCCATACTCATTGTGATGTGTGTGTGTGTGTGTGTCAGATTGTCCCCAGGTGCAGTGTGTGGAGCAGTACGTCGCCCAGCAGGCAGACGAGCTCACCCTGGAGCCCACTGAGATCATCAACGTCATCCGGAAGACCAACGAGGGTAAGAACATGGATGGAAACCCAAACTAGGAGTTGTTCATTTGGTTTAATATAAAAAAAAAGTGTGAGATGGGCCGTCATAAAGCTCACTTGGTAGAGCTGGCAGCCCGTAAACAGCGGCTCAGTACGGAGGAACTGGGTTCAAATCCAACTCCACCTCTCCAGTAAAGGCTCTTGTGACCAGTGTTGGGACTAACGCGTTACAAACTAACGCGTTACTGTAACGCAACTACCTTTTGCGGTAACTAATAGCGTTACTAGTTACCTATTCCCATTCAGTAACGCCGTTATAGTTACTGTGATTTAAATGGGTGCGTTACTGCGTTACATTATGTGATCCAACTGAACCGAATCTCCCTGCGGATGTAACTTACAGGCGAATACAGTGCTCTCACAGTACCATGGAAAAGTGAAAGTGACCACAGAGGAGTGATGATTGGTTAACGCGGGGTAACATTTCAGGGTAAGCCAATCAGAGACAGAGTTAGGTGGGTCTTGCCTTATGGGGAAAATACACAGACACACAAACACTTGCCAACACACACACATACACGGCAACGCCCACCACCAGCACACACACACACAATGGCAGATGCAAGTATCAGCGAGAGCAGTTTGGAGATATAACCACTATTTTCAATTTGTGGGGAAGGCTGAGAGCACCTCTTCTTAAGTTTATCCACCATTATTGATTTTGTTTATGCTAAATGGCCAGATGTGAGGTAAATTACTTCACTGTTAGTTTGTTTTTGTGAGGCTGAAAATAGTTTGTTTGTCTTCAGTGTCAGTCTGACAGTTTATTATTTATTTAATTGTTACTGCCAAAATAGTGTAGTTGTTGTTAATGTGTACACTGCCAAAAGAGTGTAGTTGTTTTTATTTCATATTGCACTACAAGTGCCTAAACATATCTTTTGTGTTTTATTGTTCCACTACATTTCATAATGATAATTGCTACAATGATGGGGAGTTGTCTTTTCTCTTACTGTGCTACAGAACAACACAAAAACTTGTGTTTTTAAAGTAAAGTAACTTGTTGCTAGTTACTTTTATAATTTAGTAACTAATAAAGTAACTAGTGACTTTTTTGAGAGCTATAACTATTACTAGTTACTTTTTAAAAGTAACTTGCCCAACACTGCTTGTGACCCAAAAGATATGATATCAAACAGGATTGTAAGCATTTCCTCTTTTACAGAACACAACCACGCACCTCAAACTTAAAAGTGATATGAAATCTGTGCTTGCGTCAAACTAATCTGTCGTCTTTTGGTCTATATTTGACCTTTGTGTTTCAAATGTGGGAACCTACTTTTCCAAAAGGTGGAACCTGCTGACTCGACCTTGTGTTATTAACATGCCTCCTCCTGTTACTCTGCTTGTTTATACACCCTGATCCCCGTAACTCCTCAATCCTCTCACCTTAGCAGTTCATTGATTTGTTTTGACTCTCTTGCATGACAGAAACCTCCAATCTTCCCCTTGTTTGTTCTACCCCACCCCCCACCCCTTTTCTCCTCTCTCGCAGGCCTGTATGAAGGCATCCGCCTGTCTGACGGTCAGAAGGGCTGGTTCCCCATCGGAAACGTCATCGAGATCACCAACGAGCATGTGAGGCGGCGAAACCTCCGCGAGCGCTACCGAGTGATGCAGGCCGCCAGCATGGTCTCCAGCAGCAAGGCCAGCACCATTCACTGAGATCAGACGTTTACAGGAAATGATTCTTTAAAAAGGACCAAGAACTCTTGATTCGAGAACCAGGAAATAAAAGATAAGAGGAGATCACGACAGACCTTTAATCATAGCCTTATTTATATGACTGGAGTGAGTGAGTGAGTGTGCGGCTGGGAGCTTGACAGAAATAATTTACTACCGACACTGACTATGAAAACGATGTGAATGACTTGCATTACATAACAGCAGCTGACAGCATCACAGCTGTAGAGTTTACCTCCTGCGAGCATGTGGCTCTGCACATTTGAAATGCCAGTCTTTCTAGTCATTGCTCAACCAGATATCAGACCTGCAGCCTGAAAACAAAAGGGTTGGGTTCTCCTGTAAACGCCTTGTGTCACATGCACACACAAGTTGAAACATGTCATTCCTGCCATGCACGACAACCTGTCATGTGTCACTTCTGTGGCCAGAATACAGGATATGACATGTTTTTATGGAACAACAATCTTGTAGAAGGCTCATAACTACCAGTGTTTTAAAGCAATTGATCTCAGCAAAAGACCAACTTTGGAATACATATTATCAGGAAGTGCCTTTTGAATAAACTCTAAATCCCTATCAGGGCTTCTATCAAGCACAATAGCTTTGTAAAGGCATGAACATGTGGACCGAGCTGTACTGCCAGTAGGACTTCTCAGTCATTGTGCTGTCCACTACCTTGTGTCAGTAACCGTTGTGGAACAATAGCCCCCCCTGCTGCGTGGGGTCAGTAAAGGCAGGATATTATATGTTGATATGCTGTAAATGTATTATGTTGTAAATAATAAGTGGGGGATTCTCTCCTTCAAAAACAGTAGTAACGCTTTTAATAAAACAAACATGTGTCTTTTAAGCTCAACTCTTCATCATTTTTATTGATACAGTAGGAAAATATATGCAACTCAAACGTAGACTTTTGGAGATATTAACTCATCCAAGAAAAATAAGGAAGTATATGAATCTGTCAGATCAACCAGTGGTTTGCATAATGAGGTAGTAAAGCTAACACACAGGGACAAGAAGGTGAAAACAATATATAAGAATAATCCTAGTCTCCTAGGCTCAGGAGGACATGCACAGCCTCTCCCTCAGAATCTAACATGTCCTTTACCTTAGTAAACTCTACAGAGGTGCCTAATCCTCTCCCTGCCTTTGAGCCTGAGGACAGTGAAGACTCCAGCAGATGGACTTCATCATCATTCCTTCCCTCCTCCAAATCCCCCCAGTCCTCTTTGGCACAATCAGTAGTCATGAAGGCAGGAAAAGTCTCCGAAACTTGTTGGCTTTCAGAGCTTCGGGATGAATCCTCATGACGCAGGTGTAGCAGAGGGTGAGGAAGTGTTACTGATGATTTGTTGTGGCCCTGGATTATTTTCTCCTCCACCAGTCTAGAGCAGCTCAAGAGTGTGTTAGCAGCATCAAGCTCTGTCTCTGACCAACACCTTCCCTGCTGAAGAAACTCAATGGTTTCCCTTGGATATTGCGGATCACTAAGGAAGGGATTGGAAACTTCTTCAGCTGCGGTGAAGTCGATTGTTTCTGGATGACAGAACGAGTTGGGGTTGACACTGGTAAAGTCCGTAAGGGTCTCATCCATCTGTAAAGGCTCTTCTTGGTAGTGCAGTTTCAGGAGGTTAGTGATGGCCTGGTCCTCCTCCTGGGTGAGCTGGAGCACAACCTGGCCTTTCTGCACTGCAGGCTGGAGGTTGTTTATTTCCAGAGTGAGGTGGCCCAGATTCCTGGTGGGGTTTGGTCCGAATCTGAATGGGTCTGGACAGGGAGGTGGAGCCGGGCAGGGGGACATAACTGGTGGGGGAGTGTTGAGCTTGAAGCACTCGATAAGCTGAAAGAAATACACGTTTAAAAGAGGTTTTAATAGAAAATAGAGCATAACGGGTAAGATTAAAGCTGAACAGAGGAAATAAGAACATGGGTGTCCTCAGTGTTCATATAAGCATTACAACATTTACTTTTAGAGGGGTACATTTCTGATTATGTCCATGTTGCATGTTTTACTGCCATCGTCCTTTCTTTTCTGCGATAGGGCCCAATTATTACGTGAACTTCTGTTTCTTTCAATAATACAATCATCGCAGGTCTTTCATATTTGAACCTAAAATGAAAAACACTGATAATATGTCTTTACAGTCTAAACAAACTGCCTTTGCCCTTGGTCTCAATTTCCTTCCTGCCTCCTGGTCTTAGCTCCACCTAACAGGACTGAGCCTATTTTATTAAAAGTCATCGTCTGCCTGATCCCCTCCATAAGCTCTGCTCTCTACAACAAACAATACATAAAACATACAGAGGACAGGACCTCAACCAGAGCTCAATACATTCTCACAATCCAGGGTTATATTGATCAAAATGTTTGTTTTGCAGTTGGTATGAGTTCAGCAGTGGCGAACCGTGTCTATCACAACTGGACCTTCTGTAGACACACACCCCCCACGATTCTCATTTATTCATTTTATATATATTTTATTACATTTTATTTATATAATTAAATCGATTTTTTGTTTGTTTTATCTGAGTGTTCCAGGGTATTCTCTGAATACCTTGAAGGCCCTGACGGTTCGCCACTGGAGTTCAGTATGCCAGTCCAGAAACACCCTGTGCCAATTCAATATACATGAACCAGAAATATCCCCAAATATTAATTTAATAAATGTTCAGTATTATGCAAGTTGACTACTTTGAGATGAATGGTTGAGGGCTCAATTTGCCTAATTGTTAATGGCCAGTTTTAATCTAATACATCTGAAAAAAGGCCCAATTTATATTGATTGATTCTAAAACATTGATACCACGACAAACATCCAATATGTCCAAAAAAAACAAATACTATATTTAAGACATTCAACTTAAGTGAGTGTTCATGTCTTCCAGGGATTTAATTCTACGGATATTGTGGATGTCCATGGCAATCAGTTTTTTAAGATATGGGTTTATGAAGTCCACTTACCCTCAAATCACTTGCTACGTTGGGGATCCTTCCACAGGTCAGGGTGGGATCAGAGTAGAACAACTCTGCTGGGCCGAGGGGAAGGACTGGAAGAAGATGGAGTTGTCAGTTTTACAACATGATGATGCACAGCTAGTAACAGAAACTCCTTTAACCGATCTAATCTAATAAAGGCTAATTACTATCCTTTATTTATGATAAGTGCAGGGAAACAAAAATCCTACGTCATTTATAGCATATTAAACATCCTATAAAAATATTGAGAGTATTACAAATGACTGATCATCATTTCTTACTTCTGCATGTTAAGGAACATTAATTTGTCTGTCTGATTTGCAGTACAGTGCATGAGCAAAAGGTTAATTATTGCATATCTTGAAATGAAAAGCTTTAGTTTCATATTCCAGTTGTTCATCAAAACATTTTCAAATTAGATTATTTACACATTTTAATTTAACTTAAGACTTAATTAATAAATTGTAGTTGTTGCATTACTAACCCAGCCTTCCACAAGTGGTGAGTAATCTCAAAACTTTATTTGTCATCAACTGTAACAGCAGACACTTAAATCAGAGGTTTAATAAAGCTTTAAACCAGGGGTGTTCAAACTTTTTTCACCGAGGGCCACATACAGAAAAATATGCGAAGGGCTGGGCCGCTCACTAGAGGTTTGGTTTATTGACTCATAAGTTCAGTTATAAGTTAGCAAAATTAAACAAATGTAGGTCAATGATGCTTGTAAATGCCTTAAGACAAAAACAGCCTACATCACAGCTCTCCATAGGGTTTACTTTATTTTGTTGGCAGCCCATTCCTTACAACAGAAGCTTATAATAAGGGGAAATAGGAAGGGTATATTTCACGCTTGTTAGGTAAATAATTGATTGGGTCTTTTTTCTTATCAACTAAGATTTGTTAGAAAATGTTTCCAACTATTGACTGAATTTATTTCAAAAGTGGTCTTAATACATGAATAATACTGTGTAATATATGTGTACATATATATTTAAGAAGTACAATATAAGAAAAGCACAAGTTTCATTTGTTGGCCGTATTTCATTATACTTTTTTTATTTGGCGAGGGCCGATTCAAAATGGTCCGCGGGCCGTAGTTTGGACACGGACACCCATGCTTTAAACTAATGTGGGTAACTTAAAAATCAGTTTACCTGTTAGGCTGGCACAGTCGGCGTGCTGGTGTGTAAAGCCTGCAGCCAGGTACAGAGGCATGAAAGACGGGTGGGTCAGGGTCCTGTTGGAGACCGGAGGCAGGGTGGGCTGCCTGGGGCTCTGCGAGGAGAAACATGGGGACATGTGTAACTTTTTAGTAAACATTGTGCAGGCGAGCGAATAAATGTGATAGAAAACTCACCACAGAATAACTTTCATTGTAGTTCATGGTTGAGTTTTCATTTTTCAATGTTGTAGTTCGAAGAGAGTCATAAGTGACATCTATGTTGCGTCAAAAAGAAAATAAGTCAAAAACAAACAAGAGTTGCTGTCATGTCTAAGCTAGCAGCTATCTGGTGACAGCCTTTATATATACAGTCAATGGTGACAGCTAGCGCCCCCTGCTGTTTGGCTTCAGAGACCCCGTTCGTTTGATTGCTGAGCACGAATATGCTAATAAAGATCTTAGATTATTTCATGGACAGAATCTTGGATAATTTAAATGTTGGCAAAATGACTGACAAGTAATAGTATAGCATGTCGAAAAAATGCAAAAACAAACCAACAAACATGGTATTTTATGTCCATATTCGCCATACTATATTATGTTGTTATTTGCATATTTTTGCCATACTATACTTTGTCGTTTTTTGGCATATTTTCGACATAACTATACTATACTATGTTGCATTTTGTATATTTCCCACATACTATACTACTTCGTATTTTGGCTTATTTTCCTCATGGGGCTTACTATACTATTTCCCCGATCTTTTAACATAATGTACTTTGCCTGTTTTTCTCATTTCCTCATTCCATACCTTTTTCTTCATCTTCCTTTGTCTTCTGCTCTTCTTCTTTTTCCTCTTCTCGTACTCGTCCAAAGAGCTGGCTCCATCCGAGTGGGTTTTCTATCATTATTTTTCACTTTTTCTACATACTAATAGTCATTCTTTCAATTTTTTTAACACACTATATATGTACTTTGCTTACATGTTATCTAAATACTATACAATACCGTTATTTCTGATATTGTCAACACCCATATTATGCTTTTTTTCTCAAATGTTTTAACATGCTATACTGTCATTCAGATAGAACAACACTGAGTATCAAAACTGAAAGTTGACTTTGACAACCTATCATAATGTTCAAACATTTACAAGATCAATTACTACGTTCTCTAAATGTATTCACTCAAAGGGTACAAAGGTACAAATACTTTAAAGAAACAAAAGCACGTAATCAGGTTCTTTATACATTCAAGATTGATTCACTTTTAAAGATACAAACCTGTGAATAAAGATCAATATAATGGATTGTGACTATATAGATTGCAAGTAACACAATGAGTTGGCAAAATACTGAAAATGACAGATGAAAGACTATGGGGAAATATCAGTTGTGAGACACTTTTCCTACATTTGACCTTATTGCTGATTCATTGACGACTTTAGGATCTGGCTGGGCTCACAACCCAGTTCGACTGAGGTCAGATGGTTTGGTATGCTGTCTTTATGCATCTCCAGTCACATGGAGTGTTGTCCAAATGGACTGCAGCCTTCCTGTGATAAACCTTTCTATTGAATAGACTTTTATTTCTTAAAATCACATTATAGATTTTGACCATTTCACTTCTCCAATACGCAAAACCTGAGTGGTTTCAGGTGTTGAAAGCATCAAACAAGTTGTGTGGCATATCATTAAAAAAAGCTAACGGTTTCAATATTCATAAGCAACAACTCTGGCCTCAAAAAATACTTAAAGTAAAGTAACAAGAGAAAAGACTGGCCCATTTCATTATGTTGCAGTTTGTATATGAAATGACTGGATGATGATTATTGATGTATTAATGTGTCTGGCACAGAGGTTAATTACACAGTTAATGAACCTGTGGGAACATTTCATCACAAGGCACCTCTGAAAAGGAGTACAGGCACCCTAATTGTAAGTCTAATGTGTCTGTCCTAAAGCAGGTGACAAAGAGGCCTTGTTAGGATCAACGAACAAATCATAAAAACGTCTGTCTTTTTGTCAACTTGAATGACTTGAAAAATAAAATATAAAATGATTGATTAAGAGTGATAAAACAGAGATTTGCAAACGTGCTATCACAGCTATCACAAACCAGCAGAGCTCTCCTAACGCTTCTCTGTCGTTTCTAATTGACCTCCTCCACTTCACTTACAGTATAAACTCCTCACCGCTTTTCCCTCTCTCCCTCTGGGCGGGGTCTGGTAACTTGGAAGATGCAGTGACTGTCTCAAGGTGCGCTTCATCCAGTCACCAAAGCTTCCTTCTCTGATGTTTTTGAGTATATCTGTGAATAAAACATTGAACAAATTAAAATGTGTCTCCTCATGGCAGCGGCTGAGGGGGCTAACATAAAAAGCAGTGCAAACTGGCCGTTATGACTAACTGTATTTAAAAAAAAAAAAGGGAGTGTATATGACTTCTTCTATCAACAAACACGTCAAAATGCGTCAGAAGACTAACAGAGTTATTGCTGAGCCCTACTGAGATCTGACTGAGTGCTACTCCACTAACAGTATACAAACAAGCTAACAGGAAAACCTGAGCAGCATTATTTTTTTTACCATTTCCCAGTGTGCTTCAATTTACATTCTGGGCATTTACAGTAATTGTAATGGCAGAGTAAGACTAGAATTGTTCCTGATATTAATTGTTGGACTAATGAGGAGCCTGGAGCCAGAAATTATTCTTATCACCTTCCAAAAAGAAGCCAATGTTTATACTGAGGCTGCAGTGTACATTGCACATTGGTTCAATAATGGGACGGCTCAGGAGTCGTATGGATCAGACTCTGAGTGGAGAACTCGGCAGCGCTGTGACTCGGCGACATGCTGCAGTGACCTGGATCAGGTTATGAGCCGGCTGACACTCTGGGCGTCGAGGGGTTTAGTTTAATTTACTTTAGTTGATGAAACACAGTGAAACAATACAGAAGATAAAAGGAGAACAAAAGGAAGTACAAAAAATAGAACATTTGAGCAGATGAGATTAAACCCCGAACGTGCTTCATAGAAACTCACTCCTAATCATTTTAAATTCCTGCAGGGCTCAGCTCGGGTTTATTGAGCATTTATCGAGTGATGAGACCTTTCTGCAATTACGGCATTGTCCAATCTAAGAGGGAACAAATTATTCCTAAAATGTCTGAAGATCACATCTGACCTCGGTATGCGCTGCTCTGAAAATATTTGAATTTCTTTGACAGCAGGGTGTCAGAGTGGGAGAGAGGAGGGATACAAAAAATAAGGAGAGAAACACAGGATGAAAGAATTGCAAGAAAACAAAATAATCAGCGGGGGGGCCAAGGTCACCGAATGTGAGAGACTGCTGCAGAGGATTGTGGGAAATATTACAAATAAGAGAAAAATAAAAAAGATATCATGCAAGATCTGATAGAAAACATAAATGTATGCAGAAAATAACCTCCTAATGTTATTAAAACACCACCCTGTCCTCTCCTGCACTCATAACTCTGTTTTTAAGTTTAAGAAATCCAATCATTTCTATACGTCTCAAACCTCAAGCCCGATCTCTCAAACAAAGGCGGGCGAATTTGGTTTGAGGGAATTCAGGAGCTTTGTGCCGATGAATAAAACATCGCGTCTCCTTGATGTTACCCGGACTTATCAAGTCACAGATTCCCCCCTTTGAGCTCGCTGGTGACAGAGTGCAGGAACCCCGGCGCAGGATGAAACAGAGGAGATGAAGTTTCTACAGTATGTCTTCAGATTGGCTGCGAGGAAAGATAAGTGCACAGAAGATACATTCAGGTACACCGAAATGACAAGAGAAAGAGTTGATCTTCAATTTCATCTCATCTGTCATGAACAACGATATGTAAAGATTAGTAAAACTGCGTGGGAGCCGGTACACACTACACATTCCTACTTAATCCACAGTTTTACAGGCTGAGTGTGATTAGTGGCTGTGTTTAGCATTCATACATATTTAAGTGTTCTGGAAGCTGCTGTGGGTCAAATTAGTAATTGAAATGGGACTTACTTTGTTTTAAAGTAATCAATCAAAAGTGGAATGAGCAGTTTTGAGGGCAGAGATTGAAAAAAGGGACACCCACGTGGAATTATTCAAACTGTCAGTGCTGTGGTGTTGAACATGTAGGCGGCTAAATCGCTGCTAAAATGTAAAGTAACAACGTACTGGAGTAATATTCCCACTGGGTCTCTTTGTAGTTCACCCCCGACGCCTTTTCAAATCCTGCAAAACTAACTAATGCGAAAACTTCTAAGGCTTCATGGATATTAAAAAGATAGTGGATGAAATAATACAGCATGTTAAGCTAGGTAAAGCACACAGCAGAATCAGCAAACACTAATCAGAGTATTCAAGACTTTAAAGGGGTTTACAGCAGCAAAAACAACAACTTTTTGAAGTGTTGCTATTTAAACACTAATCACGCTAACTAGTAAGCCTTTTTGTAATTAAATAACATTCCTACGCACTACAGTGTTAGCCTTTTCAAACATGGCTCCAGGGAGGGCGAAGCCGGTCTTTAAAAGTAATTTGCAAATATTAGCTTGCTCATAAATGCTGAACATGGGAAACATACATGCTAAACATTAGCAAGTTAGCAAGCTTTGCAAACGTTAGCAAGCTTTGGGTGTTAATAAACATATCTCTAAAATAATATACAATTAATGACAAAGTCAACTACGCTTTTTATATACTGTTTTTTAAACATAGCAATGATTTTGTAGCATAGGATAGACATTAAAATACATAATGGTAAGTGCTGCTAAATTAAGTGACATGATTGTTTTACATTATTTTATAAAAGCCTATATTTAGTTGAATTTAATACTCATTTACTGCAGTCATCCAGTTTGGCTTTAGCACTTTAGCATCACAGTTCATTTAGCTTATTAGCTTTCTCTTAGCTTAATTGAATCAGGAAATATGTAATATTTTTTTCTAGTTTTTGAGAAACCATTGATTGTAATACAGAACAGATTTGATATTCATGTCTACTCATTCCTATTGTAAGTGAAAAAACATGATGCAAAACTACCTAATCTAGAGATCCATATACTTAGATACAGTACATAACACACCAAGCTACATTAATGTATCTGCATCTACATACAGTGCCAACATGCTGAAGTCTCCCCTCTCCTCAGCAGATGGCAGCCTTGCACTGTGCAGGCTGACACACTGCCTGTCTGAGCACCGTGTCCACACCACTACAGTGTGCGTCTGTATCAGGGAGAGAATGTGAATAAGAAAGAAAAGGTGGGGTTAGACTCAGAGAAAGAGGTGAAAGATTGTTTTGCTGTATTTATTTTTAAGTACTAGAAAATAGTGTTGCATCCATGAAACATGCATGCAGGTTGAACATTGGCAAACATTGCACCCATGGGGCATCGTTAAAATCTAATTTCATCCAGTGTTAAAAATTCAAAATACAAACAGATGGGTCTAAATTTGGATGTCATCTGCCACCATAATTTTGTATATTTTCTCAAATACATGATTTCTAACTACGTAGTAAAATCAAAAGTTTTCCATAATATGCATGTCTGCCATTTGCTAATTGCATGATTACACCATCAATACAATTATCACAGCATGAGTTGAACATAAGTGTCAAACAAACAAGCTTTTAGGGAATATTTAGGGAAGATTTACAACGTTCCCACTGTACTGTTGAATGTAAAGTCCAAACCATCGAATTGTAGTTTCATACTTCCATAATGTTCAGAAGAGACAGTCCCCATGTACGAGTCAACACTGGATCCTACCATTCACAAAAGGCAACCTGAAAGAGTTTTCCTCACAGACTCATTCCTGCTTGAGTCCCATTTCTTTTAAAGCGCATATATAAAGAAGTCCTCACTAACTAACAATCAGGTAACTAATATTACATTCTAAGCCTCAATTATTGAGCGTTAAACACTCAAATACTTTGTCAATCTGGTTCTTTAAAGGTGACATAATCAGATTTGATTGACAGCCACTAGAAAACTGCCAACTGCCAATTGAACCTTTTCCAAATGGGCTTCTTTTGGCTTTAAAGCCAGTGAAAAGAGCACAGAAAAATAAAATACAGGAGTAAATGTTATTATACTTATATGGAAATATACCCAACACCCTTTAAATCTAACTCTCCCTTTTACAAATTCTGTTTTCTATTCAGGGTTACATTTTTACTTTTGACATGCATTTCTTTCTGTGCGTTTCTGTAAGTACACACCTGTATTTTCATGGTGCATGTCTGACAATTACCACTGCTCAAAAAAATCGGAGCTTGTTACTTTAGCCTGAGGAGTGAAAAATATCCTGCTGAAAGCGGCCCTCTCCTAGCCAATCATCTTGTTTAGCATTTCCTTTGACTGCGCTGTGATTGGGTACAGCTTGCACCAAAAGAGTGCACCACACTATAAGGCGGTGTGAAAAATGGGAAAAGTGTTCTATTTTTCATGAACTCATGAACTAGTAAAAGGGTCGAGGGATTCCTGTTAGCATGGCAGAATATTTTTGAATAATCCAATGCGAGTGCAGAGCTTCCTGTAAAGCTCAGCTGGTAAAGTGTGACAGTAACACTAGCAGGGTTAGTGGTTTGATTCCCTGTGTGGACATTGGTGATAAAACTGTATGCACACATGGTGCCAAGAGGTGATACAAGCTGCAAATGCTATGTGTAGTGAATGCTAATCCTCACTGAAACAGCAGCATTACACGTACAACTTCTACAGTTTGGTGTCAATCTCTTGACTTGAAAAGCCTCAGTGTAAGTACAACGAGGTATTGGCTCTTGTTTAAGGTAAAATATCAGCCCTGTTAGTCCTGTCAAAAATACATCTGCTCCACGCTCTATTCATGTACCCTTCAGTGGACACAAAGAATGAGGATAAAATAAAATATTTCGCAAAAGCGTAGAAGTGTGGTTTTTCGAAGACAAAAAGTGCAAAAGGGGAAAGAATGAGGGTTGATGTGGTTGAGCAGCGGCGCTTCTGAATAGCAAAAGTAATATGTAAAAGGAAGAAAAGAAATACAAACTTGACTGAGTTTTGCGGTTAAAAGGTGAAGACAGGCGAGGAGGTGTGAATGAAAGATGAGAAACAGCATGGAGAATGGTCTTTGAGAAAGACAAGCATTAATGAAAATCATTGTAAATGTCAAATTACTTTTTAGTTGAGAGCTCATTCATTTCAACAATAAAAGCTCAAAGAGTGTGAATGATAGAATAGCTGAGAAGAAGAGGTCTCATATTTGACTCTAACAAGAACAAAAAAAGCTGAAATAAGCAGAGCTGCATTATCATCTTACCTC